AATAAACTTCACATGTGTAACATATACAGTTGATATATTTTGGCATGTATAGTCCCCTGAAACCATCAGACAGGTAGGCTTTTTCTCTCTCCATTTACCTATTTCTGTACCTATTATATTGACAGTGGTGTTGGGAGAGCAGAGTGTTGATCATTTTAAAACCTATTTAGAATTATCATTGCTCTTGGGACACCTGGGTGGCTCAGTTGGTTAAGCGTCTGCCTTTGGCTCAGGTCATGATTCCAGGTCCTGGAATCGAGTCCCACATCGGACTCCTTGCTCAGCGGGGAGCCTGCTTCTCCCTCTCCCTGCCGCTCCCACTGCTTGTGCGTTCTCTCTTTCTCGCTCTCTCTCTGACAAATTAAAAAAAAATTATCATTGCTCTATGTTGAGTCATATTTATTTTTAATTGGATTTGGCATTAGAAGAGAGTAAAGATTTTATAATTTATTAAACAAAAGTATCCCAAATGGTTGAGAAAGAGTACTTCTGAGCAGACCCTCCCAGCCTGTGTGCTGTGGACATCAACCCTACAGCTCCCACAGAGCCTGCGCCTTGACCTGAAGAGAACTGAGCACCTCTGCTCAGGGCACAGAGGTGACTCAGACCCAGACCTCGCCCTCAAGGATCTCAGAATCTAGAGATGGGAGAGTGAAAAGTTGCCCAGAACAACAATAACACTAACTAGAAGGTGGGGGAGGTAAGATACTGGAGGATTTCAGAGGGTATGGTGGCTTCCATCTTGGGTATGAGCTCCAGTGAGGAAGAAATCATTTGTTGCTACCTTCACATGTGTCTGTCTGAGGTAGGTGTGCAGAGCAGTTGAGACAAATACGGGCCCTACCCATTGATAGCTTAAAGCCTAACACCGTACATCATGGACCGACAGGTTGGACGTATGCCCAGCCTTTTCCTGGACAGCATCCAGCATTGCTGAGGAAAGAGTGAGCACGCAGGACCCCAGCCCAAGTTATCCAGTTGCCGGAACATCTCCTTGACTCCTAGGAGTGGGGGAAGCCACCTCTGGGTTGCCTGTGCCTGTGTGGAAAATAGGGCTCTCCACCTCCACATCTAGGTCAGAGAGGGGCCCACTTGGGGTGCATAGCACAATGATAGATTGCTTCTGGGCCCTGGGGTCCTCATTACCATCATATCCATCATCTTCTGCTAGTACCGAATAATGGATGAAATTTAATCAGATGCCAAAGGAGTTCTCAGCGGGAGGGTTTGAGGAACCTTGCCTGACACTTATGCTCTAGTGCTGGAATGATTATAAGGAACCAGAATGATCTTTTGTGGTGAGACTAAAGGTATCATGCACCGTATGAATTCTGATTTATTTTTAAAACATTCTTGCTCTCATTGGCTCCCCTTTTAATAGTCTCACTGTAGCCTGTTTATTGTTACAGATGTTACTTTTAAATGAGGTCATTGAGCTTTACTTCCAAAGGCACTGTTTGCCTTTTTCTTGCGGGCTTGGCAGGGCTGCCTGAAGAACAGTGCTAACAAGAGATCAAGGTTAAGGCTTCGGACCCCCAGAGGAAAAGCCGCCTCCATGTTCACGTGCAAATCACATCAGCCCTAGGTCTCAGGGGAGAGTGTGGTCGCCCCGGTCCAGGTGTTGACCTTGATAAGGTTGCCTGGCAGAGTGGAGCGGGGACCCGCGTTGTGGTCACTCACCCTCCACTGCCTTCCTGTCCACTGTGAAACCTCAGGGAGCCCAGAAAAGTCGGAGCTGGGTTCTTTGTCCGTAACTTGGGGAGAATGCTTTGTTACTCCTAGGATTTTTGTGAGGATAAAATATGCTGCCCTTTCTCCGTGTGTGTGTTTGGCAGGGTAATCGCTGGAGGCAGGAGGCACTGGACATGCTTTAAGTCCCCCAAGCGGGGCATTTCACAGGGTGGGTTCAGAGTTCGAATGCTCAAGTGGAAGGCCCACTGACCAAATCCAGCTCATCACTGATGTTTGTAAATCAGCTGTCATTGGCACACCCACACGCACACCGAGGTCGGGGGCTGCTTTTGCACAATAGCAGCAGAGTTGGGTGGGTCGCGACAGAGCCTGCTTGGTCAGAAACCCTGGCAGATGTTTGCTGACCTCCGAGCCAGACTCAAGCATGGCTGTGTGGTGTTCCAAGCTTTATGTACATTCTTATCAGATGCACCTCATACTTGCTTTTTTGCCTTTGCTCAGACTCCTCCTCCCCCTGAATTGCTTTCCGTCCCATTTCCCACTATGTAAATCTTCTAGTGTATTAGTTATTACAATAAGGCTTGTCTTTTGCTCAGCTGTGTGTATCTTGCAGCACGTAAAACAGGACACGACACCTAGTAAGTGTATAGTTCATTACGGATTCGGTGGGGGAACAGAGTCAAAGGGCATCAGGAGAGAGAGAACTCTGCTTGTGGGAGAGGGTAAGAAAGACTTCATGGAGGTTTGGGGACAGGATTGCCCCCAAGAAGGCGGCTGCCCCTCCCGCTGCAGCTCAGTGGCAGGCATACAGTAGTATGTAGGAAGGGAGGCAATACTGCGTGATGGTAAGAACCTAGGAGCCAGGACAGCCAGGCTGGAATCCCAACTTGGCCATTTACTGATGAAACCTTAGACAAGTCACTTAAGCTCCCTAAACGTATTTTCTAAACTCCAAAGTAGGGAATAATAATACTATATTATAGTATTATAGTATAATAGTATAGTATAATAATAATACTTCGTCCTACAGTTGTTTCATGGGTTAAATGAGCAACCATGAAGGAGAGCCTGTGTCCCGCTCCTGGCACGTTGGAATCGTTCCATGAGCTCTTACTGAATGATGGTGGTTCTGACCTTTCAAGTACCATCTATGCTAATTTCCTCATTGTGGAGTGAGCAAGGTCAAGGTCACAGGTCTAGTCCCTCTGGAGACCTGGCCTCTTAACGTCACTGTTTTCCATTAGAGAATGTACCCCAGCAAGTGTAAACTGGTCCAACAGGGACCAGCCTCCTGAGGGGAGAGACTAGTGCAAATGAATCATTCATGCTAGAAAAAATATCCCGGGACATAGAGTATCGCCCCACAACGTTAAGAATAATAGCGTCCCTTGACTGAAACATTCATTACATTTTTCTATTCGCAGGTATTTTTTTAAGGGACAGAAAGAAAATGTTTAGTGGAAAATTTACAGCCTTAGATCTAGTGGGATTTCTTCATACTACAAGCAGTTTATGCAAAGCAGATGCCTAAGGAGCCATGCCTGCCTGCACCTGTGGATTTGGTGGTTATATTTCCTTTTCCCCACTCCTCTAGTTCTTGCAGACAACCTGAAATCCAACCCTGGAATTAAGTGGCAGTATTTCAGCTCGGAAGAAGGGATTTTCACCGTTTTCCCAGCACACAAGTTCCGGTGTAAGGGCAGCTATGAACATCGTAGTAGGTACGTTGACTTGCTTGCTACAGTTGTAATTACTGCTTAAGAATGATCTGTATGAAACAGAGACTCCTCATTTACACACATGACTGCCTCCAAGCTGTGGTTTCTCAAACTTACTCAGGAATGATTTCACCAGCGAGCATATGTGGATGTGGAAATGCTAGGAAGGGCAAATGATAAAGCCCGGAGTTTTTCTAGAACTATCTAACAAGGTACTCACTAAAGAAATTAAACTGTTGGAGGCACCCACGTGGTTTTGAGCTTCAGGCATCCTTGGTGAGACGGGAAAGATAATACCTTCGCTTAAGCGCAGCCCTAGAAGACTCCTAAGTACATGCAATCTCAGCTACCAGAAGTTTTTTAAAGTTTCCCAGGACACGTTGGATCCAAGAATGGTTAGCTTCCTGCTCTTCTCACGGAAATGACTGGGAGTTTGTACTGCTTAGCCAGAAGGACAGTAATGGTGAGCTAATTTGTATGACAAGACTCATCAATTTACAGAACCCCTTAGGCAAAGATACTTCCCTTTTGAATCCCTACAGCTTCCCTTTGCAGTGTATCTGCAAAGGGTGTTTGACACCAGGAAATCTGGAGCTAGTGCAGGGTGTTCATTTTCCTTGCCATTTTTTAGAGTCCAAAGTAACCATTGCTTTAGCCTCTCTTTATCGTTACTTTAATTTGTGTCTAAAATTTTCCCCAAGGAAAATACTACTTCTGTGCTTTTCCTAGAAAGACCGTTGTGTCATAGGTATGGTTTCTTCAGTTCCCTCCCTAGACACCAGGATTGGTGAAGACTTAAGTGTCTTAGAAACTGGACCAGAAGTCTTGACCTTGGGTCTGGTTTGGCTTAGCTCAGGAGAGGCCAAAGACACTATGAACCATCTAATTTGCATTTACTTCTAAGAAGATAGATTGGAGGGCATGCTGCTATTAATGCATCACCTGTGAGGGAAAGTCCAAAAGGACAAGCAGGACCTTGTCACAAATCAGCACTCACCTGCACTTGGAAGGTTTCATGCATACCTACCCTGAATCTGCATTAAAACAACCCTCAACACTGTCTTCCCTTGGCTAAGTAATCCAGGTTCCTCCCCTCCTAGATTGATGTTCCCGTCTCTTTACTTGCCCTAACTGCTTTCCTTGGAGGCCTTTGCAAGTTCTCCACATCCTTCGAAGTGTGGAATGGGTTTTCAGAGCACACGAGAAAGGAACCTGTGAATACCAATCATGCTGTGGGGACCCACTCCCAGATTGTACATTTCATGTTACTATTTTTTGCATCACTCTAAAACAGTTCCTTAACAATTTACTGTGGCAATGTGAAGCACATACTCTGCTTTCCATTGATGTGGGTTGAGTTGGAAAGGAGATATGCTTTTTTTTTTTAATTCACCTGGCCTGGAGGACCTAAAAAGTTCAATATTTGACATGGTTGTCAGGGTTGGGATAGTCAGATTTCATTCTTTTCCATTCTGTCTTTCATTTCTGTAGCCATTTCTCCTGAATTCTTTTTATTACATTTCCCTACTGGCTTAATGGTATTGACTGGTGAAAATACAGTAGTACTTCAGTGTTAATGTAGGACTTTTGGCTTGAGAACAAAAGTGTAAGCTTGGCCAGATTTCGAGAGTTTAGGTTTTTTGTGTTTTGTTTTGTTTTGGGCTTTCTTTTTTGTTTTTGTGGGGTTTTTTTGTCCTTTGCTTTTATTCCTTAATTCATGCCCAGACTTTTTTGAGTCAACTGACATCTAACATTTCATAGAAAAAATCTAGTGTTTTAGGGGTGTCAGTAAAGGAGGGAATTCTCTTGAGGCTGATTTGCTTTCTTAAGCTCCCCCTAATTTGTTCCAGCTTTAAAACTGTGAAGAGAGACCGCATTAAACCCCTTCTCACAAACCTTCCTGTTCGGCACATGAGCAGAAGGCCGCTTTTCATGGGAGGCATTTCTCCTTTGGACCTTCCCCACCCTCCCTCCACCCCCTTTTCTGAATGTTGGCAAACAAAAACCTGGCAAGAAGAGTGACTATCACAGGCTTGGACACATTTGATGGCATGGTTTTAAATGCTCCGATAAGGGGCCTTTTGGTGGCTGACCTGTGTGAATTGCTTCAGTACAGAAAGGAAAGGGCCCTCTTAAGCAGTAGCCTTTGTCTGGGGGGAGAGAGACCAAACCTGCTATTCAGAGCTGCTCAGCATGCTCGCAGATTACAGGCTGCCTCCGTTTTAGCAAAGCCCCACTCTGTATGTCTGCAGACCCAGTGCTAGAAAGTAGACCTTCCCCTCCCTCGTGTGCACTCTCTGCGGTCTGAGAGGCCACCAGTCCCATGTTCTGTAGCCGAATATTGGGTAACCTTGAGTGGCATCACCACGCACAGCCGCAAGCATTGACTTTCAAGTGTGCCAAAAAGGCCAGCCTCCCAAAGGATTTGCTGCCTTTTTTTTTTTTTTTAACTATACTCAATGTGGGGCTCGAACCCACAACCCCAAGATCAGGAGTCACATGCTCCACCAACTGAGCCAGCCAGGCGCCCCCAAAAGGATTGGCTTTTTCTAACCTCCTCCCGGTTGCTTTAATCTTTGGAAGACTGAGGTACCAATCCCTGTTCTACAGACGCACGCTGTTGTCTCGAGGTCGTGTTTTCACTGCGCCAGTATCCTTTCTCCTTACCAGTGGCTCTTTCCTTGGAGAAAGACATCCCTGGAAAAAGACATAGCCACCAAATGCCTGCACATCTGTAGTGTTCACAGCTGCATTGGGTTGAGCTCCTTTGACCTAAAGCAGGACTGACCCCAGAGAGCTTCTCCCCCCCCCCACCCCTTCTAGACCTATCTACGTCTCCACGGTCCGGCCACAGTCCAAGCACATAGTAGTGATCCTGGACCACGGGGCCTCTGTCACGGACACCCAGCTTCAGATCGCCAAGGACGCTGCCCGGGTCATCCTCAGTGCCATCGACGAGCACGACAAGGTGACCGGTACCCCCAGTGACCCCCGTGGCATTGGCTCTTCCTTGAATGTCTTTTGTGAAGTACCTTGTGTTTTATGGTACACGGTTTTAAATCCATATTTAAAACGACTTTGGGGGAAAGAGAATGGTTTCGTTTTTATTCTAGCGTTTGAGGAAGCAGCCGCCGACTCTGGCTCCAAATCTCTTTTAAAAACCACCCCCACCAAGCTGAGTCTTGTACTTCTTCATGGCTCCTGTCAAGGCTTCCAATTAGCTGTGACTTTTACACTGGAAGTTATGCTAAGGAGGAGAAGGACAAGGGCGTGGAGGCTGGTGGATGGCTGGACTTTAGCTCAAGATTTATGAGAGGTGAGGGGTAAGGGAAGGCTTCTCGAGGTTTACTAATCTCTAGGATACCTCAGAGACAGGTGTGTTTACAGCTAATGATAATCTATTGCCTTGTGGACATTTTCTGCTTCATCATTTTGACTTTTCGAACTCCTGAGGTTTTACTGACTAATCTAGTTGCTTAAAACACACACCCTGTGCCTTTACCCTCACCCCCACCTCCAGCTGGAAACCCAAGATGGTTAGTACTCGCTAAGCTCTTTCTCTGCGTGAAATAGTCATCCTTAATGTTATAGATGAACGCCATACTGCTGACTTCATCTGGGAACAAAACACAGACTCTAGAGCCCCTCCCCCTTACCAATCCTTAACTCATCCTTTTCAAATTTGATAGATTTATGCCTCCAGGCATTTATTTTTAAACTCTTAGAAACTGTTCTGTAGGCCCTCTCAGTCCTTGGGCTCTTCAAGAATATAAAAAAGCCTTCACATGTTAAGATAACAAGGTTTCTTTTTCTTTCCTCCAGATCTCTGTGCTGACTGTGGCAGACACGGTCAGGACGTGCTCGCTCGACCAGTGCTATAAGACGTTCCTGTCTCCAGCCACGAGTGAGACAAAGAGGAAAATGTCCACCTTCGTTAGCAGCGTCAAGTCTCTGGACAGTCCTACCCAGCATGCGGTGGGATTTCAAAAGGCGTTTCAGCTGATTCGAAGCACAAACAATAACACAAAGTTCCAAGCGAGTAAGTTGCACTCTCTCAGAGGACTTATAAACCAATAGATAAAGGATAGCAGTAGGCATACATTGTAAATTGATCACACAACTATGTCTAGAGGGATTTTTTAAATTGACCTGGGATAAAATTTTCATGTGTTGTCATCACGGTCATCTAGTAGTAGGATCTTACTAGATTTTCTCATCTTTTCCAATCAAAGGTACTCAGCCTGAGTGATTCCTTCACCCCCAGAGCCTCTTCTTCCTGCCCCTTTATTACAAACATAGCCCCATTTATTTCCCAGGGGAATGTCCACATCCTTTTTAATGCTAATTGTCAGCCTTGCCTTCTCATTGACTTGAGAGTGGATGTCTGCTCGTGCGCATGTGCAAAGAAACAGGCTGCAGGATTCTTGCCTTGATCCTTCCTTCTTGTAACCAGCTGTCATTTAGACAAGCACAGCCTTCAAATGTACAAAGGCACTCTAATTTAATTTTCATGTATTAAAGAAAATCTGGAATTAGGATGCATGCTAAACTGAAGGAAAAGATACTTGAAATAAGATATGCTTTGAAACTACTGAAAGGAATCTATGTCATTTTCCCTTTTATATTCGAGTATCTATTTGTAGGATTTTTTTTTAAATGAATCTATCCTATCGAGGGAAACTTAAAGAATACATTTGCAGGTTCTTCAGTGTGTCTGCATTAAAAGTAAGACAACATTGATGAATGCAAAGCATAGTGACTGGCACATGGTGAGCCCTTGAAAGATCGAGCTACTGGAATTATTACAACTAATGATGGCAGATGGCATATTTGTTGGTGTTTGAACATAACAAGTTACCACAAATTTAATAGCAGCTTAAAACAATGTACATTTGTTACCACGCAGACCATTTCATGGGTCAGGAGTGCAGGCAAAGCTTGCCTGGGTTCCAGGTAAGGATTTAGGGTTGCACGAGGGCTGCAGTCTGGACGTCCCCTACATCTGTGGTCTGCTCTGAGGTTTGGAGTCTTCTTCCAAGTTCAGTTGTTGGCAGAATTCATTTCCTTGCAACTGTAAAACTCACATGCACTTGCTTCTTCAAAACCAGCAGGAGAGCATCTCTTCTTTGAGCCCCTGACTTCAGGAAAGGCTTGGACCCTCTTTTGAAGGGTTCATTTGTTCTCATCAGACCCATCCCCTTTTGAATTAATCGGATTTCTCTCCCTTTTGATTAACTTATTTGGAATCTCAATTATATCTGCAAAATCCCTCCATGTTTGCTGTCCATGCAGCATAATCACAGGAGTGATATCCATCACCTTTGGTTAGAAGCAAGTTACAGGCCCCCTCAAGAGGAAAATCTTCTACAAGGGCGTGGGTCATTGGGATCATCTTAGAATTTTGCCAACCAGTGTTGGCAAGTATCAGCTACCCACAGACCAGTATTACGGAATGGCTGAGTGTCAAGTTGTCCACGATTCAAGAAGGCCAGTGGACAAGATTGACCTCCTGAGGATCAAGATAGATTGGCTAGTTGGTCAGGGCCATTTACCCGTCAGCATTCCTCACCAGGAGTGATTTTTCTACTTGATTCCTCAGTCATCAAACTACCCTTAGAGTTTAAGTCCAATTTTGATTATTATACTATTCAAATAATGAAGAAAAATTTTAGACTGTCTGTGACCTGCCAGTGATTGTGAGTCAAGGGAACCCAAAGTAAGTCAGTGAGGATCGTTTTGGGGAGCATGGTCAACTAGGGGGTGCATATTCCATGGAGAAGCCCGCTGTCCTGTGCAGCCTGTGATTGCCATGTAGGAGGGCCTGCCCAGCGTTGCCAGATCTTCTATTTTAAGAGAAGCCAGAAATCTGGATTTTTATGTGCACCCCCTTGGTTTTCAAATGTTGACGTTTGTTCCAGCTTTAAAACTGAGACCTCATTAAACCTCTTCTTACAGACTTTCCTGCACTACACATTAACAGAAGGCTGCTTTGATGGGAGGCATTTCTCTTCGGGCTGTTTTTTGGTTTTTCTTAATGTTGGCAAACAAATACGTGGCAAGAAGAGTGACCATCACAGAATTGGACAACTTTTGAGGGCACTGTTTTTTAAATGCTCAGAGGAGTCCTTTTTAAGCCAAGTAAGATGTTCCTAAATTATATCTCTGCTTCTACTGGCAGTGCAGAGAAAAACACAAATTAGATTGCATAAGGAAACACATCAGAAATTAGCATTGTCTAGCTTATTAAGGAGAGGTTTGAGGTGCTGTCAGGCAATGTAGCATAGTGGTTAAGTATGTGGGTTTTGGACTTTAACCAACATGGGTTCAAATTCCTACTTTGAAATTTTTCTAAACTTGTGAACTTGTGTAAATTATTTGATCTCTCCAGGCCTGATTTCCTCTTCTGCAAACTGGGGGTGATAATAAGATCCAGGATTCCATCATAAATATCAAATAAATATTAGCTGTGGTTGTTACGGTATTCAGTTTCCTATAGGATTTCTAGCTCAAAGATACCTCAAACATCTTGGTTGACCTCAAGCCGAGACGGCTGAGGACCACACCAGCCTTGGCTGCAGTATAGTGAGGGGTCTACGTACTCGTCTTAGGAGCTTGCACCCTGCATCCTTACTTCTGTTCACTACCTAATTATTTAGCATCTGCCGTGTACCTGGTGCTGTTTTGCTTTTTTTTTTTTTTAAGATTTTATTTTTGAGAGAGAGAGAGAGCACGAGCGGGGTGCAGGGCAGAGGGAGAAGCAGACTCCCCACTGAGCAGGGAGCCCGACGTGGAACTCAATCCCAGGACCCCAGGACCATGACCTGAGCTGAAAGCAGACACCCAACAGACTGAGCCACCCAGGCGTCACAGCTAAAACAGCCACACCTGGTGCTGTTTTAAAGCCGTGTGGTAGAGTTATTCTAATGAGTAAGACCTACCCTGTAGGATTGTTGTAAGGATTAGCCTGTGCATGAAAGTGAAATATCTGCCCCAGGTCAGTAGCCATATGAACAGAAGCTACATGTCATAAATCATGGTGCCTTTGTACAAATTTGCTTTGCACTAATGAGAATATCTAAAAATTTTACCCAGCTCTGGCTCTTTTTCAGTCCCACGGTAGATCTGTAACTGATACCATCGACATATTTGGGTTGCCTGTTCTGGGGGTGATTAGTTGGTAGGTCATTTTAGAGCAGAAGGAATAAGATGGTTAGGTAGGAGTGAGGATCTGATGGCAGGGGCAGAGCCCCAAATTTCAGTTGCTTTTTCCCCTTCGATATTGACCCCAAGACATGCTAGCAGCTTAGACAGGGACTTGGCAAATGGAAGCTATTGCATTCTCTTCCTGTTACATGCTGTGTCTTCGCTCTGCCCCAAGTCCCTGGAATTATTACTCATCTATAACATTACTGATCACAAGGTGTAGTTCTTCTGACTGACTAGAGAGGGAACATCCTAATAAGGAAAAAAAATAATAAATCACACCAAATTTGGCAGATCTGCTGTCTAAAAAGGACAGGGCAAGGATAGAGTCAGGCTGGGCAGAGGCCATGAGGATGCTGACAGGGTGCTTGCCTTCTTGTTGGGACGGGAAGAAAAGGGGCGTGGCTACAGCAGGAGGCTGCTGACTGCCGGCCCTCTGGCTTTCCAGAAATGGGCCGGTGCCTCACCACCAGCTCTCCGTGACAGCATATTTTATCTAGAGTCACGAAGCTAAGTAAGAAAACTCAAAGGTTCTCTTTCAGGTCAGTCTTATGGCTGTCCAGGCATTTATCACACACGGTACCTTTGCCATGGGGTGACGGTTTGTCTCATACTTCATTTCAGCCTCATGGTATATCTGCATTCCCCCCAACTAGGGAGTCAAGTGTTGTTGCTTTTTTTTTCCAGTCTGAACCCTAAATGAGATGTTTGGGGTCCTAACAATAATCTACAAGACAGTATTTACATCATTGGAAAAATATTGACATCCAGTTTAAGATGGATATTTCTAAGCTTATGGATGTTTTTGCATCAGCATTTACTTCTTAATTTCTGATGAATAAATAGTGCAATTAAATTTACAGCTAGTATTAGAGAATTATTCAAGCATCTAATGGATTTAAAACTTATTTGTATGTTAAATTATGGTAATGAATAAGAGACAGCAACTTAGGTTGTATTTATTTCTTTGATTCAGTTTTATTAATGTCAGTTCAGTTGTCTACAACATTGATACAACATAAACTAACCATTCAATTTTGTATAACAAAGGATGCTGCAAAGTCTAAAATGGAAATTTACAAACTGAAGAGAACTCAATCATTGTATCCTTATCACTGTTAGGATATTTTTTAAAAGGGTAACTAACTGTGTTCATTACCTATTGCTGGATAACAAATTTCCCAACACTCAGTGACTTTAAACATTTACTTTCTCAGTATTTGTAGGTCCAGAATCTGGGTACAACATAGTTTCATATCTCTGGCTAAAGATGTCTCATGAGGTTCCAGTCAGACTGTTAGCCAGAGTTGATACTCTCTCAGACTTCAATTTGGGAAGGACCAGCTTCCAAGTTCACTCACGTGGTTGCTGGGGGAACTCAATTCTGAGGGCCTCAGTGCCTGGCCTCTAACGAGGGTGGCTCCCAGCATACCTCTGGCTTCCTTCAGAGTGAGAGAGCATGCACAGTGAAAGCCACTGGCTTTGTGTCACCTAACCTATTTCGGAACACCCCATTCCTTCTCCTGCATTCTGTTCTCGAGAAGGAAGTCACGAAATCCAGCCCACACTCAGAGGGAGACAGCTACACAAGGATGTGGATTTCAGGAGGTAGGATCACTGGGGGACTAACAGGGAGGTTGCCTACCACGGTAAGTATAAAGCAACCTCAACTAAATGACACCAGTAAGGACCTGAAGAAAGAAGCATATAACATATGAATATTTATTTCTCAATAGAAAGGTAAACTTCTGTGTAGTATATCTTAATAAAAATATATAGTTAACCAAAGAATCTCAGACAGTGTGGAAGTCCAGCTCGCTTACTTCCCTCCCTCCATTACAGTAGTCATTCAGCCTCTGCGTATGTATCTCCGGCGGTAGGAAATTCACTACTTATATTTGCTAGTAAATCCACTTGAAGGAAGTTCTTCACACTGAGCTGAAATGACCTTCTCAATCTCTCTGCTTATGAGCCCTGGTTGGGGGAGTAGTTTAATCTTGAGTCATAGGTGCTGCTTCAGACCAATATTGGGGGGGGGGGGGGGGGGTGTGTGTGTGTGTGTGTGTGTGTGTGTGTGTGTGTGTGTGTGTTGAGGCTTCTTTCTCTTTTACTATTTGCCATTATCCTTGGAGTCTCTCTTCACTTAAATTAACCAGTTAGTCCTCACAGCAACCCTACGAAGGTAAGTACTGTCATTATCCCCATTTTGTAGACAACAAAATATAGGTGTAAAGAGGTTAAGAAATCTGCCTAAAATTACCCAGACACAGCTTGAAAGTAGCAGAGCTGGGATTTCAACACAGGCACCCTGGCTCCCATGTCTGTGTTTTTACTGTTCTTCGGCACTGATGAATTTTTTTTTTTTTAAAGATTTTATTTATTTGTCCGAGAGAGCGAGCACAGGCAGGGGGAGCGGCAAGCAGAGGGAGAAGTAAACTCCCCGCTGAGCAAGGGGCCCGATGCGGGACTTGATCCCAGGACCTTGGGATCATAACCTGAGCTGAAGGCAGACGCTTTACCCACTGAGCCACCCAGGCATTCCTACACTGATGAATTTTAAAAATAAAAATGTTTCTGGAGCTACTTAGTGTAGGGACCAATAACCTTTCATGTTTGAAGAGCCCGTGGTAGAACCATCATTTTAAAGCCTAGGCAGCCCCAAAAATGTTGGCTCCTGGTGAAGCCTCTCAGTGAGGAAAGGATCAATCAGGTCCCGAATCCTCTGTTTCAGAAGGCAAGAGAGCGCTCTGTCTGGGATGGCTGAATTACCACACCATGAGTGCCTAAAGGAAATCACCTTCTTTTATCTGGTAAATTTATTAGGAACATCTCTTCAGCTGACACTGGATAAATGAGGCCTCGTTGCCCACAAAGGGCAGGATGGAAGGCACGCAGAGGCAGGGAGATGAAAGCCCCGGCATCAAATGGGAAGGAGTCCGAACGCTGGGCCAGGCAGGTCCTCAAGGCGGGAAAGTCCAAAGGAAATGAAAAGGAAACGGAACTGCTGCCTTTAGCCGGAATCCAACGTAACGTTCAATTTGTATGTTTTTGTTTAGATACAGACATGGTCATAATTTACCTGTCAGCTGGCATTACATCAAAGGACTCCTCAGAAGAAGATAAAAAGGCGACTCTCCGTGTCATCAATGAAGAAAATAGCTTTCTAAACAACTCCGTAATGATTCTCACCTATGCCCTCATGAATGGTAGGTAGTGTTTCGAGATTTTTCTTTCAGATGAAAGTTCTCTCTAAGTGCATGCTGCTTTCAGAAAAAATAAAAAAAGAACCCTGACAGCGTGCACTTTGAAGAAGGGTGTAAGAAGAGAGGCCACCAAGCAGCTTCCTGCCCAAGCCTTTCTCTCCCTAACGTTCATATTCAGGGCATGTGTTAGGATGTCACTCTCTCTTCATCTCTCTCTCTCCAGCCAACTGCTCATTTCTAAACCTTCTCTGGTGATGTGGTCTTGCAGAGGATTCTGTACCGCTCCGGGTTTTTTTTTTTTTTTTTCCAGTTCTCCTTCATATTCTTGGATTTTGATACTGCATGGATGTTATTAACTGAGCTCATTGATTTAAGCTTCAGGAAGCCAAAATACTGACCTAGATTCTTCTGTATGCCCGAGCCAGTGAATATCACATTTCTCTGCAGAATCACCACCTAAAGCCTCTTCTGCTGCTTTCTCCACCTCAGCCTCCTTAAGTGTATAATGGAGATAAGAATTATCTATGTGACAGGGCTGTTGCGAAGAGTAACCCTGGTGTACAGTAAACTCCCAGGATAGTGTGTGTCACTTTCTAGGTACTCCTGAAGGTTGATTTTGTTGCTATTAAATCAGTATGTGAAAGGGTTTAGTAAATTGGCAAATCTGAGGAAGTACTTGGTTTTTTTTTTCCTTCTGCTCTCCAGCATGTCCTCCAGTCTGACTATGGCCCAGTTTTCTAGCTTTTCTGCTCTGTCCTGTCTCTTCACCTGTTAATGCATATTGTTCTTCCCCCAGAGAGTCTTCAGGCCCCTTACCCTCAGTGTTCTGGGTGACTGTATTCTCTTGTTTTTGAGAGGCCACGTCTTGATGCAGGAGCTCTTCCCACCTATGGTCTTTTATTTGTTCCATCCGCTTCGATTTCCATGCAGAACCATGTGGCTGTAGGGACGGTGGTTCTCATTTTAACGTGCTAAGGATTACTTGGAGATTATTTTTTTAAATGCAGACTCCCAGGCAGTACAATTGGATTTTTATTCAGATCTGCTTAGGAGGAGTTCAAGAATCTGTGTTTGGGTCAGCATGATTCTTTTCTAGGTATTTTGTGGGCTCTCCATGGAAGAACTCAGATTGGAGTTCTAGAGGTTCTGAGTTCCAGTCTCCATCTATTAGCTATGTGCTTCTGGCGAGTTACTTAATCTCTTTAGGCTTCAGTTATATCTGTAAAATGAAAATCATAAAATGTACCTAGAGTTGCTGTGATAATAAATAAACAAGATAGAATGTGTTAAATGTTCCTAACACAGTACCTGATCAAGAACAGGTGCTGAAAGCCGATTGAAGGATTGAATTAAAGTTTGTGTGATTGCCTGTCTCGGTACACCTCAAAGGCAGAGGTGCTTCTCTCTCATTCTCGTTCAGGGCCAGTGTTCAGTATTTCAGTATTCCTTGTCCCCCAGCTTGTTTTGCTTACTTCTGTTAAGCGTGTCATCCATGAATGATGTGCTCACATACTGTTCTCCTTCTCCCTCCACTTTACATCCATGAATGATGTGCTCACATACTGTTCTCCTTCTCCCTCCACTTTACATGAGCGTGAGCTTCTCATACATAACTGTGTCTCAGTTCTCTTTGTGTTCTGAGCATCGAGCACAGGGCTGAGCACAGCTGAGGCAGGCAAGGATGGCCTGTTTTTTGCCTGGGGCACGTACCTTTCAGTCTTGTCTCTGGTCTTATCTCTTTGACTCAGGCAGGAAGACAGAGGAAGGGAAGAAAATAAAGTTTGTTGAATCTACAGTGTGTAACATAGTGCAGTGAGGTTTTGGAGCTGTATTATGCAAAGTTCCTGTCCTCAAGAAGCTTGTGACTCCTTGAGGAAGATAGATAAGGCAGATGAATTCAGTGCAGTAGTCCAGGTGTAAGAAAACATAAAAGATAGTGATCACTTATTTTCCATTAGATTTGAAGGTCTGCCCAGGCAGATACTGAGTAAAGAAGCTTCCTCACTATCACCCATCTCTTCACTGGTCCTAAATCTTCACCCTAGAGAATCTTGTGCACCTGCTATGCCCCTGATAATGCCAGTCTTTTAAAACCTCTGGTTACTTCCCTCTGACCACCCTTATCTCTTCTTTCTTCTCCCTTTAATCTGGCTAGACACAACATCCTCACTGCCGGATTTCCCTCTCCAAATGTTGTCTGTGAGCATTGTTCACTAAGGTTGACACATTCCCTTACTCTGTCAGTCAGGCTTCAGGTAGGGAAGCAGGGCCACTATGAGGATTTGGACGTAATGAACTTATTACCAGAATTAGAGTGTACACAACTGAGAAAATTGAGAAAGTAAAGATCCAGAAAGAGGAGTTGACAAGCCAGTATTTAGTAACCAGCTCTGGTATGGTTTGGAGCTTGTGGGGATGTCTGAAAGCTAGGAACGTTGAAGACCACTTAGGAGGTCTGCGTAGAAGTCTACAGGAGGTTGTTGGCCCTTCATGGCTGCTGTACCCCTGTAGACTGTCACTGAAACATCTGGAATGAGCCTAGGGTTACCCTTGTTGAGCAAGCCAGCCAGCAGCTGAGAAAGGGAACTGAATGCAGATTGGGGCAGGGTAAGACAAACTGGAACATGCTGGTCCCTCTGTGTCTGTTTCACCTCTCAAATCTCTAGCACTTCAGTTTTGGCCACCTTTAACCTAGAAACATAGAGGAATGGGGTTCCCGGAAATGTAGTCTCCAGGATGACCATATTGGTGATAGAACCATCTACCATACTTACCCGCCTTGCCAGCCCACTGCCACCTTTGCCACTCATATCATGATGTAGTACATAAAATAGACAATCTTTGATAACCTTCTATCCCATGTTATTCTTTGCCTAAGAGATGTTCCCATTTGTTACTTTTCTTTTACATTTGAGAGAGTCAAACAGTACATGACAAAGAAAGGAAATGTGTTTATTGTCTTGAGTTGTCTCCTTTTATCATTCACTTCTGGGAGCTTCTCAAGGGTATAAGGCCAGGGATCAATCATGGCTTTTGTGATTTTTTTTTTTTTTTACTCTGGAATGTACCACTCATCTCCCCTATCTCCACTCATATCAAAGAAAGGGAACAATAACCTGGTTCTGACTTCTTAGCATCACTGCTCCGGCAAAATCCAAGTTATCTAAATACAATATGTTAAGAAGGAAATTATATGCGTTAGATCCTTGCATGACTTTAGAAATGGACTTCAGGCTAGAAGTATACACACTCCTTAGTTAGAAATGATAAAGTCACATAAGGTAGGTGAACCATGAACTCTTCAGTTTTGTTTTGTTATGTTTTTTTAAAGACTAAATAGTTAAAGAACATGAGGCAAAGCCTATTTAAAACTCATTGGTAGAATCTCAGTAGTGACTGAAATCATTTGAATTTGTTTACAGTGGCACCCATATGGGATCAGTTACTAATCCTTTTGACTGTGTTCCAACAATAGCAAACCAAAATTTTTAAAAAGGTTTATTAAATTTATTTTTATGCTATAGATTACAGATGTTGTAGAACAATACATCCCAGTATGCCTAAATCTTTTACAAAGTTTTTAAAACCCTTAAACGTAGAAAATACACATTAAATAAATCAAATCCAGTACTGTCCTAACAGTATCAAGCATGAAAGCATTTGTAATTAAAATGAGCTTAAAGACACGGGGTTTAGGGGCATCACTAAATGCAATACATAATTCTTCCATGTAGTTCCATGAGACTTTGGCAAGTGTTTAATAGGGAAAGAGGTAAGAAATGAAATGATAAACCTCTATCCTTTAAAACGCTTACAACTTCATCTGATTTAAATGCAGACTTGTTAATCACGACTTTTGCTTTCAAATTTTAAATGCAGAAAAATTAAACTCTTAGGGGAGAACATATCGTTGCCAAATGGGGCTCCTTTATTTTTACTCATGTGGTTTTCATCATTGCCCTTTGAAGAATCCCTTTGCCCTCTTGACTGTTTGAGGAAAGACTATGCCTCATGCTATGTTCCTCAGCAAGAAATGGTAACTGTGTCCTGGGTCCAGGTTGACTCTGTAAGACCCCTTTGGCATTGCAGGATTTTATCTGTGCCCTTAGTAAATCTAAACGGCAAGGTTATTGCAGGGATATACACCATTTTGGTTTACACTGTCTACCTTTGGCTTTCCATTTCAGATGGGGTGACTGGTTTAAAAGAGCTGGCTTTTCTGAGAGATCTGGCTGAACAGAACTCAGGGAAGTATGGCGTGCTGGACCGGACAGCCTTGCCTGTGATTAAGGGGAGCATGATGGTGCTGAACCAGCTGAGTAACCTGGAGACCACGGTCGGCAGGTTCTATACCAACCTTCCCAACCGGATGATTGATGAAGCGGTCTTTAGCCTTCCCTTCTCTGATGAGATGGGAGATGGTGAGTCTGGGGAAAACTTCCTACTAAAGAAAGGGGAAAAGAAATGGACACGAGTCCACCAAGACAGTAACTTTTAAATGTTGTCCAACACTTATCCGTGAGCATTAGAGGGTCCGGACAGGCAAGGCGAGCAGTCATCCCTGTCTCTGATCAGAGGGTGGTGCAGCCCTCTGCCATCGGTCCAGTAGCACTGTATCTTAGAGCAGAAATCCCCAGCCCGATTTTTATCACATTGCCCTAGCCTCAGTCAACATGATGGGTCTGTTTATTGGAGGGGCTTACTGAGGATTCCCTAATATCCACAAGTTGTTGAGTTGGAACAAAAGAGTGACTTTGCAGGGCAGGTGGTAGATCTCAGAAATGATTAGGATTCAGCCTGAAAGGAAAAGCAACATGGGGTGGTCAGACAATACAGGTTTGGCAATAAGAGGTTTTCAAGCCCCACTCTACCTCTTAAATTGTGGTCCTTGATCATTTATTTAATCCCATTCATTCATTCCCATTTGGTCACCTGTTTAAAATGTAATGATGTCTTTCATATAATATATCTTTTAGGTTATTAGGATTAGACTTATTGGTGCCTGGCATACCTCTCAACAGTCATTACTGTTCTTGTTGATTTATTACCTTTACTTTTTATTATGACTCTCCTCATCTTCATCATCCTGATGTCACAAGTTACTCATAATATGATGTTGGGTAAAGCGTTTAACCTTCACATGATTAACTTTGCTGGTCTATGAAATGGGAAGAATATTTCTGTCAGGGCAGTTGTGAAGACAACATGCACTAATATATGGGAAGCACCTAGAGTAATGGCTGGCCAACGTATATAATCAGTAAAAGGACAACCTTTTTCATTCCCTTCTCATATTCTTGTTTATCCTTTCCCCAGCCTGCTTCCCTTTCTTCTCTGACAGAGAGGAGGGACGAGGAAGCTGATTACTAGCCAGGCAGATACCATCACCACATGAGATCCTATTTTTATGTTCCAGTAACTAGGAACTCTCACAAATACAGGTATCCCAACAAGACTCATGTATGAAAAGTAACAGGCCTAGAGAATAAGTTTTCTAGAAATTAGGTAAACAGGTTTTTTTTCCATAAGGAAGAAATACGGTAACCTCTGCTACACGTCAATTTTTTTTTTATCCCTCCTAATTCTGGCAGAGCCCACAGATGTGGAGAGTATAGAAACTCCCACTTTTAGATAAGGTTATTTCCTTTCATAGGGAAATGTTGAGCTGTAAATGCAAGTGACCTTTTATGCATCTAGCCCACGATATTGAGTGCCAGCCAAGCCTTGTGTCAGGCAATGATGGGTAAGGCACACATCCCACCCTCAACAAGCATGTAAGTCTGATAAGAGAAAGACAGATCAGTGAATCATGTTAATACTGTGTCGAAGGAACAAAGGCAGATGTGGAAACCGAGTCCTATACAAGCTCGGGGGCTTATGCGGTCAAATCCTGTTACCCTTAGTGATATCAGGGAGAGTCGGACCTTTTATAAAATTCACCTCTGCCACCCCAAGAGTTACCCAAAGGCTTTCAGTCAAACTGTGGGCAAATCTTCGGTTCCTTGTTGGCTGATGCTTTCCAAAGTGTAGTCCTCAGGGCCTGTTCTCTGAATCCTCTGCGGTGTACTTCAGCGACTGCTTTACTGGTCTGTCCCATTCCTCTACTAGAGCATGCCTTTCATGTTTGTATTTTCAGTCCCCAGAACGAGTGGGTGGCATCTCCTCTAACTCCACAACATGGGGATGCTGAGCCTAGAGAATCCCATGTTTTTACACGGCTGTCATTCAAAACCCCCACAGATTAAAATATTGGTGACTGGACGTACTTCTTTTAACAAGTAAATCTATGTACTTTAGGTTAAAGTAGAGAGGGCATTTAGGGATTTCATTAAGGGTAACAAGAGCTGAGCGTACTTTATTTGCCACAATGAAATGAAGAGTCTTCTCTCCCGAGGTGATAATTGGAAAGTAAGATTGTGTTTCTTTTTTCAGGCTTGTTCGCAACATAGCCAAAGAAATCTGAACTGAGCATATGGTCTCAGAGTATTTCTGTTGTACTTCACTGCTCTATGAAAACGGCTTTAATCTTAGACACAAGCCCAGGGGAGCATGGCATGCAGGTTATGACCTCTGTCTCTGTCCTGGCCCTCCCATCATTTATAACCCATTTGTCCAGGGATACCTGGGCAAAAACCTCCTTAAAATACATTTTTAAAACCTTCTGTTGACTGCCTAAAGAATGCCTTTGAAATTGTAATAGACAGCACACAACTTTTCTTGTTTCCTGGTTTACTGATTTATAATTGACATAAAACAATGCACTCCTTTTAGGTGTACAACATAATGATTTGATATATGTATATATCGTGACACGATACAGTATTGTTAACTATAGTCACCAGGCTGTATATTACATCCCCAGAACTTACCTTAAAACTGGGCATAACTTCTCACAAAGTTTTTCAGTGTTGTATGCACTTCCTCCTACCAAGTGATACATTTCATTGGCCTTTGCGACCACAGCAAGTTCAATAATACTTTGAGTGGACCTCCATGGGTTTCTCTGTGTGGACGTCTGTTTTTTGCAGGAGGCTTCAAGTATCCAAATCCCTTTCCTGGGTGTTGATAGAAGAATGGCTTTCTGATATGCTGCTAAGGCGTGAACCTGCCATTAAGCACAGGAAAATACTAGTGTAAGATGGAGAGAAACCATCCATCTTCTTGTTTCGAGTTTTATTGAGAACCATAGGATTGTGGCACTGCTCCGGGTGCTAGAGATCGTTCTGTCTCTGACACATGAAGAGACCCAGTTCAGAGAGGTGGTGCCATTTAACTCAGTAGGAGAGCCAGGAGGAGAGCTCCGCTGTCCTGATGCTCAGGGCCACGCACTCACCCCGCTACTCACACTCTCTCCTCCTGTACATTTTCTTTGCCTTTGCTTTTCCCTGTCCTGATTATCCCATTGTTTTTGTATGGCCTGTGAGCTGAGAATGCCGTTTATATTTTTAAAGCTTTTTTTTTTTTTTTAAGTATATGCAAGAGAAACTGGTCCAAAAGCCTAAAGTATCTAGTGGCTAGCCCTTTAGGTAAAAGTCGAGGACCTCAGAACCCAGTGACTAGAAATAGATTCCTTTGGAAACTTCGTGTCTCCCTGAGCTGCTTGGAGTTGTAATTGGTCAGATCTTATTAGATTCTGTACCTTGCCAGGTTTTTTTGCTTCATCTTTTTGTCTTTTGATAGGCTATATTAATGACATAATCTCTTTTTGTTTACCCCTAAAAATCAGTAAAGCAGTTACCACTGTGTTCTTTAAACAGCTGTGGAAACCGAGGCTCAGAGAAGTTATATCCATGTCTTATGTACAGTACATAAAGGGGCACAGCTAGGCTAGAACCCAAATTCTCAGAGTGCTTGTCCAGTGGTCTTTCACATTCCGTTGAATCTTCCCCAGTTGAGAAAACAGAATCATGTAGTAAATGCTGCTATGTTTTGCTCTGATTGGGACTGTCCTGCCGTTTAGGTGAAGAAATAGTGGAAAATGTATAAATTGCCTCCAAAATTAACTGTGGCATCTGAACCCCACAAAAGACTCTCCATGCCCCACAGTCTTGTTCACTTAACGCTGTCTGCAGAGGCAGTGGTTGGCTCCTAGATCACACAGGTCACCTCTTCCAAGCAGAATTTGGATGGCAGATCGTAGCCTCCATGATTCACTACAGCATAGCTCCAGTCTTTGTTCAGTGCCTTCTCTGCTATCCTTTGGATTGTTTTGTTTTTAACCCATAGGTTTGATAATGACTGTAAGTAAACCCTGTTATTTTGGAAACCTACTTCTGGGAATTGTAGGTGTGGATGTGAACTTGGCTTACATCCTTGAAGACGTGACGTATTACCAAGATTCTTTGGCTTCCTATACTTTTCTCATTGATGACAAAGGTAATCTGCTAAAAATTAATCATGGGAAAGAATGACTTTTTTGTAACCTGAAGAAAATAATCTGTAGATATTCTGATACTAACAAAGTAAGAAAATTACATTATTTATAGAAAAATAGACTAGAACTGCTCATTTATAGTGGAAACCATAAATGAATCTAAAAATGATGCATTTGTTTCTAGGGGCACCGGGGTGGCTCAGTCGGTTAAGCATCCGATTCTTGATTTTGGCTCAAGTCATGATCTCAGGGTCATGAGACTGAGCTCCATGCTGGCATGGAGCATGCTTACAATTCTCTCTCTCTTAAAAAAACAAACAAACAAACAAAACCTCATTTGTTTCTGTGTTGTGCTAAGGTGTAGGTAACAGTTACTTAAACATCAAGAAATTAGACTTGAGGATTGAATGACATATAGAAAGTGATCCTTTGGATTTTATTTTTCTATAGCATTATCTTTAAATTCACTGGCATTAAGGTTTATGTAATAGATTAGAACATTTTTATAGAAAAAGCCCCAATGACCGGTACCTCCAAGATATTCTTGATTAGACAGTTGTTCCATAATTTAAGGCATCTTTCTATACTTTCTATACGCATAAAACAAATTCAGTTTTTCTTGGACTGGTGAGCTACGTATTGAGATATTGCGTATTGGGCAGTCATCCCAGAGTATCCCACATTTCAAATGTATGATAGGCACTTATATTAGAATCCGTACTTCCTACAGCATGTTTCCCATAGCATGTATTTTTGTTTCCTTATTTCAGGGTATACACTTATGCACCCATCTCTTACCAGGCCATATTTACTATCAGAACCCCCACTTCATACTGACATCATTCATTATGAAAATATCCCCAAATTTGAGTTGGTTCGGCAAAATATCCTAAGGTAAGGAAAAGGTGGAAGTTGTAATATTTGGGTTGGTTTTTTTTTTTTTTTTTTTTCTGAAAAAATAGGACCTCTTGAGGTCAAATATGAGTGTTCAGGGTATAAAACAAGTATATAAATTGTTATTAAAAGTGTGCTCAGTAAATTTTTCATAAGAATAGTAGCTAAAATTTTATTTACTTTGTATAACAACAGGTAAGTTCTCTTAAAACTATTACTTAGGGAAAATGTTTTGTAAATCAGATTCTATGTTCACGTTTCCATTAATTGTAAAATTGCGGATATATGTTACCCCATTTAAGAAAAACTCCAGTTGTACTAATTTGAAAAATGTTGGCAAAATAAAAGGTTAAGTTGAGGACCAGCTTTCCAGCATGCCAAAAGAATAGCTTGGCAAAATAGTGTCCATTCCAAGTTGACAGCACAATCATATACAACATTTTCTTTTGAAATAAAAAACAGATTGGATTTTTTCTAACCGTGATAGATAGATAATTTTCTAACATTATTTTGGCAGATGGTAACCTATAGAGAATGGGTCTTTGTGCTCATTGGTTGTAAATTAATGACAGTGATTTGAGACAAGTTTGTCTCTGGAAAGAATTAGAATCTGGGGGGAGCATGGGTAGAGAGCAAGGAATATTTTAGTGCTGAGCTGACATCATGCTTTTACGAAATTGAAAATTTCACATTACTTCTTTCAAAAGTGATGAGCTTCATTGCTTTTCAAAATCAGGAGGTGGTCATTGACTCACAGCTTCTTCCCTGCCTTTAATTAAGTGCTTAATTTTATCTTTTGCCTGAAGTATTTCATTCTGTTGCCAACGCAGCCTCCCTCTGGGCAGTCAGATCATCGCAGTCCCTGTGAATTCATCCCTGTCTTGGCATATAAACAAGCTGAGAGCCACCGGAAAGGAGGCCTATAATGTGAGCTATGCCTGGAAGATGGTGAGTTGCAGGACGCTTTGCCTGAGGAGCTGGAGAGTGCACTGCCATTTATGCGGGAATTCCCGGGAACTTAGGTCTGATAATGTTGCTAATTAATTTTAAAGCAATGGGAAAAAGAAGAGATTCCACAGATGTCCTATAATTTTTTTTCCTTTTTTGTTTGTAAAACCAATCATTGTTCATGTGGAATAAGTTAAACTGTATAAAAGGATACAAAGGAAAAAGTAAACTTTGCCCTTCCCTCTCTCCTACCCTTGACCTGCCCTTCCCCAGAAGCTGCCACTTTTATCAGTTTCCAGAACATTCTTTATTCATACACAGGTATCTCTAGCTAGGCATGTGCATGCATGTTGAATAGCTGTGTAGTGTTGCACCGTGTTGATGGACCAAACTTGTTTGAACCGTCCTCCTATCAATATACCTTTAGATTATATCCAGTGAGGTGTTTTTTTGTTGTTGTTGTTGTTTTGTTTATCATTTTAAACTCAGATTGTGAAAGTTAGGGGTTGAAAAGGAAATACAAAAGCTTAAATGCCCTCTACTGACATTCTCCAGAGCAAAGCTGGATTATTCATATTCACCACCAGCAGATGGACAGTTAATTGACCGCCGGTGGCCCCCACTCCCTTCGGTGTCCTTTGACGAGCTTCATTCACATAGCCTCTGACCAAGGAGTCAGAGGTTTGAGTACACACTACCCATGTTATTCATGTTGCTGCCCTTTACTCCCTCTTCTCAGCCAAAAAGCAATGCTGTTATGGGGCCCTTCATACTGTAATTGACCAAAAGCAGAGTGGACTTTGATTTTTTTTATCATCAACTTTTAATCACGCAACTTAAAATGCAGTCATATTGGAGATTCCCTTACTTGGCCATATCTCGTGTTTAGCCCACGGACTCCAAATGGATCTACATACTCATCCCTTTAAGAATGACTTACTGAACATTTCCAGTGAGCTAATAAGAAGGGTAAAGAGGAAGGATACTTTCTCTGCCGTCAGAGAGCATCCAGTCCAGTGGTGGATGTAGACACACAACTCTATCCAGTGTCTGTGTCTGGAATGATAGGAATTGGGATGACAGGAATTTGGAAGTAGCCAACATGCCTTTAGATAGGACTCTCCTCCGACCTTCTTGTTCCGTTCTTTTTTTTTTTCTTCTTCTGGTTCCATTCTTAAAGCATCATTATGGCAACATTGATTTCTACAAGGGAAACAAAAGCAAACAAAATAATAAATGAAATCTTTTGAGAAATTCACAATTTACAAGCCTAATTCTACTGATATTTTATTGTTTGGTAAGGCAGATTTGAGAATGGTCAAAGTCTATTTTGAAACTCAGCTCATTTTCAGGATTTTTTTTTAAGAATGATTGCACCATCGCTTTTCCTCCCCGGCTGCTTGACGCCTCGCCACCATCATGAACGACACAGTAATGATCCGGACCAGGAAGTTCATGACTAACCGACTCCTTCAGCGGAAACAGATGGTCATTGATGTTCTTCACCCTGGAAAGGCAACAGTACCTAAGACAGAAATTCGGGAAAAACTAGCCAAAATGTACAAGACCACACCAGATGTCATATTTGTGTTTGGATTCAGAACCCATTTTGGTGGTGGCAAGACAACCGGCTTTGGCATGATTTATGATTCCTTGGATTATGCAAAGAAAAGTGAACCCAAACACAGACTTGCAAGACATGGCCTGTATGAGAAGAAAAAGACATCAAGAAAACAGCGAAAGGAATGCAAGAACAGAATGAAGAAAGTCAGGGGGACTGCAAAAGCCAATGCTGGTGCTGGCAAAAAGTGAGCTGGAGATTGGACAACAGAAGGAGTAAAGATGTTGCAGTGGCTTTATCTGTGGTGGTTGTGCAGATTTTTCATGAGAGGATCAATAAACTAAGAATGTTAATAAAAAAAAAAGAATGATTGCACCATCTGCCCTTATTTTTATACATCTTAACATAAGGATGAATTGCCTAATTTTCAGATCAGAAAGGGTAAGCCACACACCAGAATACTTCACTGAAAAATACTTTTTATATTTGAAATTGGAGGTTGTTTACCTCTAGTATGTCCTGATTGAAAGCAACTCGGTTGCATCCCAAGAAAATATCTTCCCTAATATTTTTTTGGCATTGAAAGAGAAAGAAGGATGGGGCATCTGGCTGGCTCAGTTGGTGGAGAATGCAATCTTGATCTCAGGGTTGTGAGTTCGAGTCCCATGTGTGGAGATTACTTAAAATCCTTAAGAAAATAAAGAGAAAGAAGGAGATATGAGCATTTTTAAGACCTTTTTTGCACAGTGAATAAACCCACTGTTAACATTTTGGAAAGAAGTATTATCTTCTTAAGATTTTCTTCAGTGGTATCGATGAATTCTGGCCATTCTCTGTAGCCAATGGATATGATCATGTAGTTAGCTTTTTCAGAGTTCCAAAGTTGTCAAGAACATCACTATTAAGTGAAAAATTAAAGAGGTAATAAATAATGAGATAGAAGTTAAAGAGGCTTGCCTGGTTACCTAGCAATATGAAGAAATAATTTTAAGTTCTTTTTTGTTACTTTCGGGGGCAGGGGAGCAGATACTCCTCTTGTCTTCAGGAATAAAATGGATTCTTCTACTAAATGTAATTCTAATAGATTCAGCTTGTGTTGCGAATGATTATTTAAACTGCTTAGCATCCATAGATAGAGCTGATACTGATGGATTATTTCACTGAATTAATTTAAATAGAATGTGAGAGATTATGTTAGCGTTAAGAGATTACTACTCTGTCACTGTGCAGCCCAAGTCCATCTTTGAGCATTTGAGGAGGCTGCATGCTGAGACAGAAGAAAGGATTGACTTCAGAAGGTATTACTGTGTTCCTGTGTGACACAGGCATGGCTCACTTCAAAACATGAATCCCATGGGCAATCAGTGAAGAAAAAAAAAAAAAACACTCCCCAATCATGGAGAGCCCTTATAGATATATTTTGGTTCCCTAATGCAAAGACTATTTTTTTCAGCTAAGAACATGATAAAAAAAAAAAAAAAAAAAAAGACCGGTAATATAAATCCGTTTTCCGGGGCACCTGGGTGGCTCAGTCGTTAAGCATCTGCCTTCTGATCATGACCCCAAACTCAGGTCATGATCCCAGGGTCCTGGGATCGAGCCCCGCATCAGGTTCCCTGCTCAGTGGGAAGCCTGCTTCTCCCTCTCCCACTCCCCCTGCTTGTGTTCCTGCTCTCGCCATCTCTCTCTTTGTCAAATAAATAAATAAAATCTTAAAAAAAAAAAAAATCCGTTTTCCTTTCCAGCGAGGAACTATTTCTGAAGTATTGCTTTTGGATGCTTAGGGGACATTTTAATTTTTCTCCTAACAGGATAGACCCTATTCTAACAATTACATTCTGGTCCCTCTGGCCAAGTTTCTGTCTTTTGGTTCCTTGGAACATGTAATACAGGAAACAAAGGATGACTATGTGAGATGGGAAATCGTAAATGCCACTACGGGATGCTATCATTTTCTAATGGAGGCGGTGGGCGGTGGGCGAAAAGAATTAAATTTGCTAATCTAACTGAATATCCTTGGCAGCAGTACTTGAAAGCAATCCCACAGAGATGCAAATTTCTCCTGTGTTGAAAAAGATCCTGCAACCATCTTCATAAACCCTAAATTACACTTAACTCTAACCTGCCTACTTAAAAATTTCTCCTTGATCATGAAGTAAATCCTTTGGGCTGCTTTAGTTCTCACTGTCCTTTAGTTTTAACTTAGCTGGTTATCACACGTTCCCTTTATTGACCAGCCATCTTTTAAATAGAATCTGCCTGTCTCCTTATATAATGAACTTACAGAAGTTTGGCTATCTTGTGTTTTTAAGTTAAGGAGCTAGAATTAAGTAGATTGCGGTTTTTTGTTTTGTTTTGTTTATTCTTTGGTGGACACTCTTGCCAATAACACTGTTTAAGCGTCTATTTCTAAGAGCAAAGTGAACTTGGAAGTACTCCTATTTGTACATATGAGCTTAATAAATTAGGCTAAGCTATAGAATGTTTGCCTACTGTGGTCTGAAATGACAAGTCAAGCAGGCTTTGTGAGGCAGCCATGGGATTTGTACTTTTCATGAGTCTGAGATCCTGTTCATCTCCAACCAGGAAAAGAGAAAGCATTAGTCGGGAATACATGAATAAACCAGATTCTGTATGAGCTGCATGTGTATATTCATAATTGGCTTTCAAAACAGTCAATTCTCGGAATACTCATTGCAAAACCAACTCTGTATCTTAAAATGCATTTCAAACCCAAACAGAAGGAAGTCCTGTATTCTTATGCCATGTTCCAGCTTGGATTTGTTAGCCTAAAGAAGCAAAAGAGGCGTGGGGTTGCTGTTCCAAAGGGATTCCTTTCTAATTCCTTTATTGGCTTCATGATTTTGTTACATACAGTAATTTCCCTTAATCAGAAAGGAAAACAAAAAATAGAAACTGTAACCTTTGCCAGAGATAGTTTCTGTCACCCCATCTTCATGGCTTTCATTCACTCATCAAATATTTCTCTATGTGGGACAGGGACAGAGAGAGAGCAGAAAATAATGTAGGTAAAGTCACTATCCCTAGGAACCTTTATTTGCTGTGTTAGAAATTTTTTATTGACTTTTCCAGGTACAGGACACTTCCTTTATTCTCTGTATTGTGGTGATACAACCGGAAATACCTGTCAAGCAACTGAAGAACCTCAACACTGTCCCCAGCAGCAAGCTGCTGTACCACCGGCTGGACCTCCTGGGCCAACCTAGTGCTTGCCTTCACTTCAAACAGTTGGCCACTCTAGGTAAAGCCCTCGTTCTTTTCAGCTTCCTTTGTGGACTGACTCATAGCAACTCACTATAAGTATCGGTTTGAATTAAAAAAACCAAACCAGACCACAGAAACCCAGATACCAAATGGCAGAAGTGCCAGTTGGGGTCTACAGATGTGAAAACGACTGGACGTTTGTGTGGTACTCATAGTACTATAAAACAGGCATGCTCTTTTTCACTGTTGAAAGTTCTTTGGGTTCAAAAACACTAAGACTCATTAGACAACGGGCAAACTGAATAGAAAGGGGCACAGGCAGGAAGAGGATCAAGGATGGAAGTCCCCAGTATCTAGATTCCACAGGAGAGCCCTTGTGTTCGGCTTCTGTCTTTTAAATTCCATCCTGGAGAGTTTCTGCCTGGTTATGAGATCAGGAGAGCAGGCCAGACTGAGTCAGCTCTTCTACGGCATGTTCCAACAGTGTAGACAACTTGAGGAAGGCCAGAGAGGTCGGTCAAACAAGGTTGGCTTTTACATTTGTTTTCACTTAGGTTTTGATGTTTTTGTCTTTTGCTTTTATACAAAAGAACATGTATGCCCTTTAACTCATATTTTTAAGAAATGCTCACCGAATAGCCAACATGGGCATGATTCTCTTAAATGCTGTGGGAACAAGCTCAATACAACTACTGATAAAAATGAGGTCACTGTTTTGAAATTTGAGACTGGGAAGTGCAGTAATATTGCTGGATGAGAAAAAAGCTCAAGCTTAGATTTTTTTAATTTTAATTTCCTTTGCACAATCCCTTCAGCTACACTGCTCAATAATGGTAGCCACTAGCCACGTGGCTGTTGAGCACTTGAAATGTGGCTAGTCCAAGCTGAGATTTACTTTAAATGTAAAAGCCTTAATTTTTATGTAAAGTGATGTTTTGCTATACTGGGTTTCATAAAATACACTAGGAAAATTAGTTTAACCTCTTTTTACTGAATGTGGCTCCTGGAAAATTTTATATTACACTTGAGGATTGCATCATATTCTAGATGGGCAGTACTGTCTCACAGAGATGCTCACAAAATGTAGAGTTTATCAACTCAAAGACTTGACGCAGGACTAATGGATTAATTCTAGATCACACAGACCATAGGCCAGGGTTTGACTTTCACTGGGCATTCTTTCCACTATACCACCTAACTTCACCTTGGCGGTAGAACCTCCTCAGGACAATGTGCAGGGGTCATCAAGGACAGTTTAGTCGGTAATGAAAATGAAGCAGGATACTCCAACTATAATGGAAAAGGAATGAAAAAAAAAGGGAGACAATGGCAAAAATGTGGTTTCTGTCTAATTTCATCAGTGATGGGGATTTTGAGGTAAGGTGTTGAATCTATGTCAGAGCCCCATCAGGAGGGCTGAAGGAGGGACATTGTCTTGGTACACGAAGAGGAATTTTTGTAAGTGTACATCATCCAGTGCGGTTAAGTATACATGTATGTGTGTAGCTTTACGTGTCTACCTTCTAGACACAAAGCTTTGGGTCCTGTGTCTTGGTTTTTTCTCTCCCTCGACCCAAGTCACTGCAGCATTGCTCAAATGCCCAGTCTCTGTCACTACAAGAAAGGCCCACTCCCAAAGTGTCTCTCCCCTTAACCTCTGGCCCTACTCCTTTGTCCCCGAAGTACTGTGGATTTTGCCTTTTGACATTTATTGTATTACTGTATCGTTCTTATTCTGTTGTTTTCCTCTTCCAAAAATTTTCTAGTCTCCAACTGGTACCTAAGCTCTCTGAGAGGGACAATCCTCTCTCTCTAGTGCATCTGTGCCCAGAAGGCCCCGTGAGCATATGCACATGAATCCATAGCATGCTGCTAGGCAACCGAACCTTTTGAAGCTTCTGGTTTTCTTCTCCTTGATAGGACCACGATACTAATCTCCCGGACTGTCCCATGTGGTATCATGAGAATTAAATCAGACATAGCATCACTGGAAGCACTTTCTTCTGATAATGACAGACTACGTAATTCTGATCTATCCTACTGAGGACAATTAAAAATGGATGGAAACTTGAGAGCAAAAAAAACTTTCTGAAAAGTTTCAAAGAACTAACATGATAGCTAGGAACTAGACCGAAGTCTAGGAGAATATAAGAAACCAGAGAAGAAAGCCAATATTTAAAGCCACGTTTGCAATGCACCTATTTACCAATCCAGAAGAAACAACTGGGAGATTAAACTGTGCTTTAGGGAGTAGCTTCTTAGGGCTAGGGGGAGAGGCAGAAATCAAATCCAAGGCCCCCCAAATGTGGAGGCTAACACATGAAAACCCTCCCTCTCACCCACCACATATACATGTTTTAGCAGAGGTCCTGAAGAACTACATCTCCAGAGTGAGTATGAATTGAAACTGAAGAAGCCCTTGACTTGGGATTCCTGTCACCTGAGTGGTCTAAGGAACCTCACACAGTAACTAGTCGTGGGCTAGTTGAGTATGGAAGTCCCACAGTGCAGCACTTGGGCCAGTATCCCATTGTCTTGTTGAGAGCTGTCTCCGCCTTACCACCATTCCTCATCCTGGGGTCTGGTGCCTGGCAGAAGCAAATAACAGTCCTTTCTAGAGGAAGGACTTCCCCCATCCTGTTAGGACTCAACTCATTCTACAAATTTGTTTTGAACTACAGTGTCCTGCACAGTCAGAGATAGCCAGGCCACAAGGAAATAAGGCACTGTGAGTGAGAACTAACAAAAGGAATGAAAAATGACCGAGAGATTTAAATGAGATGAGACACAGGACTGTGGACAGTGCTTTCCGAAAGGTTCTAAAACTATAAAATTGAACAGTGGGAAATTTCACAGAGATGTAGTGTTTTTGTTTCATAATGTAATTCATTGTGAGGATTTCTGTCTTAAATAGAGAACTGGGTTTTCCTCTTAGATAGGACCAGCAAAATTTTTGTTTATGCCAAGTTTGGCTATCCCTGTCTGTAAGAATAGCTTTTTTTTTAATTTTTGCATTGACTCCACTCTTCCATTTTTCCTTCTTTTGAAATATCGGTACCAATATGAATAATAGTAGTTAACACTCAGAAGGCATTTGTCATGTGCCAACACCATCCTACATGCTTTACACTTATTGACTCATTTGCTTTGCATAAACTAACTGATGTACTTCTCACCATAACTGTAAGTTTGGTGCCGTAATTTCTGACTCCGCAGATGACAAAAGCATCACATGTATTACAACTTTACCCAACATCACATGGCCAGGAAATGGTGGAGCCCAGATTCAACCCAGTCCAGTGTGGCTCCATGTCCTGTGCTGCCTCCTGAATCCTAAGAAGTGTAGGATGTCATACGTAGATCTAAGATATTTTGAGCTTTTGCCGTTTTAGGCACTTGTATTTATTTGTACACGTGTCTCTTGTGGTTCACTCACGACCGCAAACTCCCTGAAGGGAGAGAATGAGGGCTGTTTCCTTCTTCGCTCCTTCTAGTGTTGAGTTCTTCGCTCTCCTCACGGAAGACTTTAAGCCACCATGGCTAACAGATTGGCAGAGCCTCCGTGATGCTTTTGTTTGGGCCTGACATGAAGTCTCAGCGTTCTCAGGCCTGCTTTGTTTGCTTGTCTTTCAGAAAGTCCAACTGTCATGCTGTCTGCTGGTAGCTTTTCCTCCCCCTATGAACACCTCAGCCAGCCAGAGACAAAGCGCATGGTGGAGCACTACACGGCCTATCTCAGTGACAACACCCGCCTCATTGCTAACCCGGGGCTCAAAGTGAGTGCTGGCCTGGGGCCCTGCTTCTGGGGTACAGACCTGGGAGGGGGCCTGGCAGGGAACCTTTGAAGTAGGAAGCCCAGCTCTGGGTCTGTGCTTCTCAGCTGGAGAGCCAGAAAGGCAGTGTGTGGCCCCCAGGAGGCTGGTTGGCGATGACCCTTCTGACGGATTAAGAAGCCCTTTGGGCCAGATGAAGAATCTCTTTCAGGCCTTAGATGCACTAGGGGTTTTCTAGGTAGGGGGGTTGTGATTTAGAGATCAGTGGAACTTTCCCAGCCCCGTTTTTCCCAGGGGAAAGAAGTAAAGTGCCCCTGTGGTCTGTTGAGATAAACATGATGATGAAGTTTAAGGAACAGAGATTTAGCTGGGGTGTGTGTGTGTGTGTGTGTGTGTGCGTGCGTGCGTGCGTGCGTGTGTGTGTGCGCACGCACGTGTGTGCGTGTGTATCTGTGTGTGTAATGCTTCACTATAGGATCTTTCCTCTTAAATGCAGAAAGCCTCGCTAGGATGAACAATTGAGTAAATCACACATCCACTGGCTATGTTTCAGTAAGCTTTTGTTTTCACCAAGTTTGGCTGTATCCATCTCCTGTGGAAAGATTTTTAAGAAGTAATTGGGCTTGGCTTCTCTGCAAGGGAGCTTTGGGAAGCGCTGCCAACAGCCCACTCTCTTTTCATGTGAGTCTTAAAGGATCCCTGCTATGTCTTCCTTTGTTTCCCAGTTCTCTGTCAGGAATGAAGTAATGGCCACCAGCCACGTCACAGATGAATGGATGACACAAATGGAAATGAGTAGCCTGAACACGTACATTGTCCGCCGTTACATAGCAACACCCAATGGCGTCCTTAGAATTTATCCTGGTTCCCTCATGGACAAAGCATTTGATCCCACGAGGAGACAATGGTGAGTTTTAGGGGCTCCCATTATCAAAGGTTCCCCCAAATCCTGGAGAGACATGATAAGTACATAAAATAAAGCAACTTCAGGCAGTCACAGTAACGAAGATACTTTCATGGCAGTGAAGACATATTTTTGAATCTTTTTTTTTAATGCAGTATTAACAGCTTTGTGGGTTTCTTCTGTTGACAGTGTTTTTATCTCTTCATTGAAATTTGGAGACTGAAATGTTTTATACTTGGCCATTTCAATTCCTAGCTTTTTTGCTTGAGTCCTGCCTTGCATGCAGTATGCCCATAGTGGGGATATTTAATGTCCCTGCACATGATGATGGCATCAAATTACAGCCCATCTATGACCCATGAAAAATAAATATAAATCCTTTTTTTTTTTTCTTTTTACCTCTGGGCTTCATTTTTACTCAGGTTTTCAAAAACAAAAGCTAGTCAGGGTGTATCATGGGGGGAGGGGGGCAACTTGGGCATAAAAACAGGATTTCTGGTCTTGTGCTGCTTAGTAACTGAGTCACACGTGAGTTGGCTGTCATTTGTACTGTCCGTACCAATCCAGGGGGCAGTTTCATGGGCCAAATGGCATTTGTTTCTACATTATTTATTGATTTCTTTTTATATTAGGTCTAAAACATCTATACCATAGATCTTATGAAAAGCTCAAATGTATACTGAGTTGGTGTCTCTTACAGAAGAAGTTCAGATTTTCTTGACTTCTTGTGTTGCTACAGTCAGAGATAAAAGATAGGAATCCTTTTGAACTCTCATGTAACATAGGCACAATTTATAATAAATACTTTGTAGAGTTAAACATTCACTTCTCTTTGACATTTACAGAGTAGTTTTTCATACCCTAAAATAACGCGACTTTCTCTTGTCTCCATTAGGTATCTCCATGCAGTAGCTAATCCAGGTTTGATTTCTTTGACTGGCCCTTACTTAGATGTTGGAGGAGCTGGCTATGTAGTAACCATCAGTCACACAATCCATTCATCCAGGTAATACTTTAATTTCTTAGTCCTTTTTAAAATACGTCAAGAATATTTTGAAAATTTGGAAGTCCAGTAGACAACCAAGGATTAGTGGCAAAAGCATGACCTTTGATGGGAGGCAACCTGGAGTCTGAATATCTTCTCTAGCTGTGTCATTTTGGATTCCCTGAGCATCCTCCTGTCATCCATAAAATGGGGATAATACCTACCTCACAAGGTTATCATGCGTTTGAGTCAATGAAAAGCTCTTAGCCCTCTTCTTATGAAGAAGAAAAAGATGTTAGATTCAGTAGGACAGTTTGTAGAAATACCACTCTTAACCAGTCGAAGAAATCCCACCAAGAGCCTGACAATTATTAACCAGAGAGCATTTTCCTAAGCAGAGGAGCATGTTTAATGAAGAAAAAAACAGTATTGAGACCACAATGTTATTACTTCTTTTATTCCGGTCTAACTTTTTAGAATGATATTGGAGTTTGTGGTTATTGTCACTTTGTCCTTATATTGTCTCTTGAAAACTAAAAAGGCATTTTGCAAATTGATTTTCCAAGAATGCTATTAAATGTCAGTATCATTGTAAATATAATTTGGGTGCTTTGTATTTCAGGCCTTTGAGGTTTCAGTATTTAAGCTACAAATGGCAGTGAAACGTTGGGTAGAAAGGCAAGTCACACGTGTTGTTTTAATCCCTTCATTATACAAATAGGTGTTTTCCCCTGGCAACCAAGAAAGCCCATATTTTGGCTGGGACCCATTATGATGCCTTAAAATTTACAGGAGACGGATTTTTTCTTGCTTAACTTTATGCTTTTCACTGGTGCTCATTATATATCAAATGACTGACATTCAGGAGAATTTTTCTAATGCAAGTTCATTGGGAGCAAGAATTGGGAAGCAGTACTGTGTCAGAATTTCACTATCATGACCTGTGTCTCCATGGAAAGCAGGGGCCTGCCGCCAGCCAAATAGTGATTGCTTTGCAGGGCATGGTATCTGTGTGGCTCTGTCACATCTAAACAAGTAAATACTCATTTAGAACAGAGCTTTTCAGTGTTCTCCTTAACAGACCATCTGTCAGGCATACACCTACTCTTGTCTGCATAGGAGACTTGACATCTCTCCCATGTAGTCTCATCAGTTGGGAAAAAGTAAACAAAGGTGGTTTCTTTGAGGAGAGGGCAGCCACCTTGGTCTTTGATGACAATGACAGTGGGCCAGCCCTGGGCTTCAGATCTTGGGGGTGGGGGTGGCAGGGAGAGAATGACTGCCTGTGTGGGTCTTACTTGGTATTTGTTCCATCAGGCTCTGACACCTGCCACTCGTTATCAAGTGCTATTATCTTTTCCTTCTATACAGTACACCTTGTGGTGGGGGCAGGGGGAAGACGTGGCCACAGGGAGGTGCAGATTTTAATGCTCTTTTACATTTGTGTACATGTTTTTGTTAAAATTTGGATGGGTGGGAGAAGCTTCACTTAGCTGATTTATAAATATTTATGGTGTCAGCCCAAATGAAGCACGATGCAAATATGATGGGATTTCAAGTTAGAGAAACCTTCAGTTCACTTCCCTTATTTGGCTACTTTTTATAGTGTGCTTAACCTATACAAGTTTAGCTGTTTGACTTTAACAAGAGTGGAAAATGGCCACTTCAATCCTGGATTCTGTCCACCAGTCACTCAGTGAGAGTGTATTCCAGGAATAGGTATCTGCTCTTGCCTTGATCAATATGTAGTCCCATGGACTCGATCATTTGAACATCTGCCTTATCACTGAGCATGCTTTTATTATTCAGGGCTGTGTATTTTTCACTCATCATAGTTTAGAATACAAGTCAACTGCACTTCTGGTTGTCAGCCAAAGCAACTGTAGCTTTAATGGAGGTATTGATAGATGGGCTGTGCAAAAGGTACTTTTTTCAAGCGGTCACCCGTGATTTTGGTCTCATGCACCAACCTGAGAACCTAACCTCCTCCTGAGTTGTGATCCTACTCTGAAAAAGTGTACTTGCCATTTACTGCTTCTGTGACTGTAAACAAGTTCCTTTTTGCCTTAGTTCCCTTACCTATGAAGGAGGGATATTAAGGCCTATCTCAAATGATTAGGGATTACGTTAAATAATATACATGAAGCTCTTAGAATGGTGCCTGGCACATGGTAAGCGCTTGATAAATGTGAAATACCTGTATTATGACTATGTTCCATGAGTTCTCAGAGCCTCATTTATGTAACGGGTGACCATGCCTGTGTTGAACTGATATAATGAAAATTACAGATGATGCATTTGGAGTGTTTAGCACTGGGCTTGACAATGTCCAGTCCCAAATAAGTGACAATTACTTCTAATATCATGCTATGTCTGCCTTAAACCTCTGGCATTTTAATAGGTCAGAAAAGAGAGCTTAAGCTAGTGTTCAGCTAGTCACGAAGCGCTCTCATTCAGCCTTGGTTTTCAGAAGTGATAGCTGATAGCTTGGGGAGGGGCTTTTCTAACTCAGCATTCACTTATCCTAGTAACTGCCCTGGGATTCTTCCATGAGCATTATTAATAGCCTGAGAGTCTAAGTGTGCATTGTTTGGAGAATGTTAATGCTAGCAGAGACGATGAAGTACAATCAGCGATTAAGGGACTCGGTCAGATGAGTCTTTGGCAATGAAAATCTCACAGAAGTGCTGCAAACAGCATGGTCCTTTGTACCCTGAAATGTAGGCGTGGTTTGACTCTTCTATGGTATTCTTTATGAGTTGCTATGGTAACTGTACATTTTCGAAATGCAGGTAAAAATATGAATGCTAGGCTTACATGGGCAATGTCCATGCTTTTCCTTCAGCATGTTAATCACATTGGAGCAGATAGCAGTTACACAGGGGAAGTTTAGAAACAAAATTAACTTGTCCCAGAAAAACCTGAGTTGCATTTTTCACCAAGTCCACTCTCGTAGGAAGAGCCAGAACTGGTCTATCATAAGTAAAAGATGGTCAGTCTTGTTTAAGTCTTTTAGCCATTCTAAGCCTGATTTTCCATTTATAAAATGGGAACTCTAATTCCTTCCTGACGTGGCCACAGGAAATTGAATAGATCATGTAAAATGGCTTGGACACTCTTGAATGTCCTGCATCTCTACAGAGGCAGTATAACATACTGGTTAGGAATATGTTCTGAAGTTGAAGACCCTGAGCTTACATTCTTGCTTCCACTTCCAAATACTTAATGTTTCCAAGCTTCAGTTTTCTGGAAATGATAATGCCTTATAAAGTCTTTGTGAGAAATAATTGAAATGATGTATTCAAATGCCCACCAGAGCACCTGTAAATTGTGTACACTCAGTAAATATTATCATAATGGCAGCTGCTGTTTAGACGCCTCGCTCTTTCCTGAACAAGTAAGAGAGGTTTAGACTTCTTTGAACTGATACTTCAGGAAAACATTATTTGTTGAAAAAAACAAATGCCGTGTAAGGTAACCGAGTCTTGGATTTCTTCCATGGTAGAATTTAAGTGGCTTCAGTAACAATAGAAAGCTTTTTTTTTTTTTTTGTTTCTTTTTTTTTTTAATGTTGAGTTAGCCAGCATATAGTACATCATTAGTCTTTGATGTAGTGTTCAACTGTTCATTAGTTGTGTCTAACACCCAGTGCTCATCACAACACGTGCCCTCCTTAATACCCAGTACCCGATTACCCCACCCCCCTCCCTTCTGCAACCCTCACTTTATTTCCTGGAGTCCAGAGTCTCTTATGGTTTTTCTTCCTCTCTGATTTCTTCCCATTCAGTTTTCCCTCCCTTCCCCTGTGGTCCTCTACGCTATTCCTTATGTTCCACATATGAGTGAAACCATATGATAATTGTCTTTCTCTGCTTGGAATATTATCCAGCCATCAGAAAGGATGAGTACCTACCATTTGCATCGACATGAATGGAACTGGAGGGGATTATGCTAAGTGAAAGAAATCAAGCAGAACAATAGAAAGATCTTATTGAGGCAATAGCCTCTCAGAGATAACCCCACAACATGGTCCTCCTTCATCTCATGCCAAACACAATTTTGACAGCAAAGCTCTGACAAATTTCATTGTGGGTCAAGGTCCTTTCTGATGGTTTTCAAGGGTTTTTGTTTTTTTTTTTGGCGGGGGGGCGGGGGAGGGCGGGTTGAGGATTGGGAATGATATGTTAGTATTGATGTTGACAGTAACCAGAAGGGGACAGTTGTCTACATAACAAAGCTAATTTCACTCCCAAGTTTTGATTTTCCAAAAGATGATTTTACTTTGGGAAGTTTCTTCTGAGCTTTCCAGTTACTATTTTTAAGATTTTTGTCTATTACAGCCCCATTTTTCTGTTGGTACTTTATAAGAAATCAGGCAGGTGGGTGATAGTAATGATGGGCCCCTGTAATGTCCCACGTTGGGTAAACCCTGCAAATTCCCAGCCACAAAGGTACAGGAGCTCATTGGCCAGATAACCCAAACCCCTCCAAATGCCCGTGATCATAGATTAGAAAGAACCAAGGTTCCACGTGAGAAGTCCATGCTTCTTATGTAGCGAGCATCTCTTTAGAAGAACAATAAGTTGACTCTCTGTCCAGGTCTGAGCTTTAAGCCCTGGTTGCTTTTCTTTAGAGTAACTTCTTTTTGTTGGGTATTTTGGATAGGTTAGGCAGCTTGCTAGGCACTATAAACACACTGGTTCATTTAAGTCCAGTGACAGCCTTGTGAGGTAGATACTACTCTGCCCATTTTCACATAAGAAAACTGGGTCTTCGAAAGGTTAAGTAGCCTCCCAGGAGCCACACCAATGGAAACCTTAGAGGGGCCAGGATTTGACCCCACATCTGCTTGATTCCAGAGCCAAAGGCTTAGCAAGCACCATTTGGTACTACCCAACTTTATCCTCTTTGGTGCTCATCTTTCTGAGGGTAGAATTTTAGATTGGAGAAGGAACTAGCCTGTGAACGAGGTGAGTTTCTTTCTAGAATCTGAGCTGTGTTTTGAGTAGAGCCAACCTTAGTGTCATAGAAAGAAAATGAGACCTAGTTCTTTACTGAGTTTTGTATGATGTTACACTAGTCGGTTAACCTTTATGAGATCCCAGTTTCCTTATCAATAAAATGAGGGAAATAATTAAAGGGATCACTCAGGTTCCTTGTCTAGAGGTTCCTTGTTGGGAGGAACCATAGTAGTCATGCATCCAATCTCCCACTGATGCCTCTTCCTGCCACTCCCATATTCTTGCCAAAGGGTAGTCCAGCCACTGAACATGTAAAGTCAGGGCTAGCCATATTCCATAGCTGCCCATATTTTGGACTGGTCTTACTAGAAAATTCTACCTTTAGCCTTAAGTTTTCCTCTCAGCAAATCTCCATATTATGCTAAATCAGTCATTTTTATAGGGGTGAAAGACGTGGAGAAACAGTAGGCATATATTTCTAATACCATACAACGTCCTTATGACTGAATGTAACTTTTACCTTTAAATAAGACGTGCCTCTTGTTCTCACTGATCTTTTTCACATGAAGTACACAGCTATCTTCTGGGCATACTGTGGCTGTGATGGGCATCGACTTCACACTCAGATACTTCTACAAGGTTCTGATGGACTTATTACCAATTTGTAACCAAGATGGTGGCAACAAAATCAGGTAAGCCCTTCAGGGACACCATTTCCTATCTAGCTGCAAAATACAAAGAAAATGATGTCCGATATCTCTGGTTGAATGGCATCCACGTTGTCAGGGTCAAGACCAGAAATTCAGTCCATGGCCTGGGTGTTCAATTACGAAGGTTTTTGTTCTTTCATTTTTCTAAGCTGCATGCAATTTATGATTGAGACAAACAGACTTGTGTCATAACAAGGAGAATAACTGTGGCACAGAATTCTCTGAAAGCGCTTATTTCTCTCTGAGTCAATAATTAGAGGTTTCCCAGATCTTGGGTGCTAGAAAGCCCAGAAGGTACTTTAGATGTTAACTTAGTTATTAAGCCAAAGTCTTTGTGGGAATTTCAGGCACTTGGACTGTTCCCTTTTACATTTCCTCAGAAACAGGTTCATGGAACTAAAAGAGTCTTCACTTCCTAGTTTCAAAAGAACGTGTCTGATCAAAGCCAGGTTATTCCCTTGATTTAATGCAGGCCACTTTTTTAAAATAGCTTTCTTATTTCCCTCTCATGGCCCCTGCTTCCTATCACTGCTAAATTTCATTGGCCCTTAATAGGGAAATGCAGGATTCATAGCAAAGTGTTACAACACATACAGAATAAAATAGAGCAGTGCATAGGCTTGGTTAGAGCAGTTCTAGCTTTGCTTATTTAGTGTTTCCATCAAATATATTTTTGCATGTCCCGGAAGTTTGTATTTCATATATATTTATCATCAGAAGAAGAAATTGTATGACTTAAAGTTTGTGCCTGTAAATACCCAAGGCCACTTCATTCAGAGTCTGCCTCCTCTGAAAGAAAGAATAAACTTGCCACTTACATATCCTTGCAAAAGATTTTTGAGTCCATCCTCCTCCAACTAAGTGGACACATTCTGTAGGAACTAGGTAGGTAGCCTCAGAGTCAGGTGTAACTTTGTTACCGTAAATTGTATACTGGGTAATCTATCAGCTCAAGAATAATGTATCTGTTGGGGCACCTGGGTGGTTCAGTTGATGAAGTGTCTGACTCTTGATCTCAGCTCAGGTCTTGATCAGGGTTGTGAGTTCAAGCCCCACCCTCATTTAAAAAAAATAATAATAACGTATCTGTCTGCCTGCCTGCCAGGCGACCTTCAGTAAATTTGTTTCAGTGAGGTTTTACCAAGATAAATGCAATTTGGGGGATAACAAGATAAATGCTCTCTGAAAGTGTAGAAAGTTTGTATTACTGAGGGATGTCCCTTGTTTTGGCACAGGTGCTTCATAATGGAAGACAGGGGTTATCTGGTGGCGCATCCAACCCTCATTGACCCCAAAGGACACGCACCTGTGGAACAACAGCATATTACCCACAAGGTACTTGTTGCGAAGCTGATAGCTCAGTGCTCCCACAGCCTGTGGCTCATTAATTACATGGCTTGTGTCTTCTGTCTGCTTGACCTTGCTAGGAGCCCTTGGTAGCAAACGATATCCTGAACCACCCAAACTTTGTAAAGAAAAACCTGTGCAACAGCTTCAGTGACAGAACGGTCCAGAGGTTTTATAAATTCAACACCAGCCTTGTGGTAAGTTGGTCCCTTGTGTTCTCACATCCCGTCCCACTGTGGAATAGGAAACGGAATCATAGTTAATATCTGAGTATGACTCTTGGCTGTTTCATTGCCTGAGAATTACAGAATGATATAACAGGACCTCAGTCCAGCTCCCCAGCTTGACCAGGATGGGGTGTAAAGCCCAGAGTGGAGAAGTGAATGTTTTAAGGTCTCACACTTGGTGTTTTGTTTTGGTTTTGTTTGTTTAAAGACTCACCCAGCTGAAACCCTTTGAAATGTCTGCAGCAGTCTGTTCCCACACTCTTATGTAAATATGTGCGGCCCCATGTGTTCCCCTCTTCCTGTCTCTCGGAGATCCTGCAGCCTCCTTAAATTCCTAAGGCCAAATTAGGTCATTTCTTGGTCATCCACCCAGTTAGATGGGAACTCTCATGTAGATCATCTAAAAATAACTTCTTTTTTGTAGCTTAGAGTACTCTAAGTATTTGATCTGAGATAACTGCAAACTTACCTAGATATGGTTTAAGATCCTTGAGAATATTCTTATTAATTTGCAAATAATCTTAGCTGGGAAAGAACTAAAATGGGTAATGGCAGAACCAACATTCAAAAAGTTATTCACAAGGAAGCTCTTTATTTAGAAAAGGTATTTATATCATGAAATGTGTAATTAAAAACTTTAAAGATGCATTGGGTTGATTGAAAATCCTACTCTCAAAAAAGCAGTTGCAAAAACAATTGGGGTACAGAAGAGTTTTAAAAATGAATAGATGAATAGGATAGTGCTTTCAGAGCAAAGGGACTCTGGTCATGACTCTGGACTTTGCCCCATTCTAAGGAACACTCTCCTTAAAGGAGACATTGACACACTTGAGTGTGATCAGAAGGAAGCTGCCAGGTACGGTTGTTCTAGGAAAGTCTGATTTCCTCTGTGTATCTTCTACCATTTGTATACTGACTTCCTGAGCCTTCAGCAGACAAAGCCAGACTACTCCAGGAGAATTGTTCAGAAACGCAAAATTTTAGTGGAAGATGAATTAGAATAATTTCTTAACAGCTCAAGTTATTCCAAAATGGAACTGGAGCATTTCTGGCTAGTGGAGCTAACAGGATGATAGGCCTCTATGATTGCTGATCTAGTAGAGGCGGGCATCTTCCAGGCAGTGGAAAATTCATCTAGACCTCTAAGAAACCATTCAGTGCCATGATTCTCAGAGTTCGGCTTATCCTCACCACGCACATATAAGGGATGACTGGCATGGAAATGAGCATGGGATTACATAGTTGGCCTACTGCATTGGACACACATGCAGAAAAGAAGGACCATACTCAACTTCACAATGCTGCTTTTGAATCTTTGGTTTTCTGTATGGTAGACCAATCTGGCATTTCAAGACTGGCTATCACATTTTCTTGTCATAGAACGAAGAAATGGATGCTTGCTTTAGTTATTTACATATTCTGTTTTATTAAATATTATGTAATATTTAAATATTCTGGAAGCAGGAAACTGGACTCCTAACGAGTTTTTAAGTTTTTTTAAATTTTATTCTAGAAGAACAGGCTTGTTATCGAAGGTGGGGCAAGGAATGCACATTTTCTGGTGGATTAGGTTTGCCTTTGAATGCATTTTAAACTATTCCTTACCCAAAAGTTGTCTTTCATTGTTTCTTGCACTTATTTTCATGTTATGATGTATTGTAATGTGTTTAAAAAGATTACAAAAACAGCTATAAAAATTGTATCTGTTTAAGCATAGATAAAAGAATCAATAATATATACACAACTGTTAAGTGGGAATTGGGAATGATCTCCGATGGTATTAAGAAAAAATTCTCTTTTTCCAACTTTCAACAGTGACTCTGTATTACTTTTGTAGTCAAAAATAAAGTTTTATTGTAAGCTATTTTCACCAGGTGGTTGAAGGGTTGTTTTCACCATGGCGGGGCTGAATCTTTGCATTGTTGTCTGGTACTTCTGACACCTCCGTTGTCTCCAGGGAGATCTGACGAACCTCGTGCATGGCAGCCACTGTTCTAAGTACAGACTGGCGAGGATCCCAGGAACCAACGCGTTCGTTGGCATCGTCAATGAAACGTGCGACTCTCTTGCCTTCTGTGCTTGTAGCATGGTGGATCGGCTCTGTCTCAACTGTCACCGGTAAAAATGCAATGGGGCTCTCGTTACTCCACTGTTGACTATCTGAACCGATGCCAGGCATTTTATAGCGGCATCTGCAAAATAAACAGAAAGCACAGGGGTGTGTCCCGGAGAAGAGGGAGGTCCTGGTTACCGAGGTATTTCCAGCTGTGCAGTTTGCTGAAGAGTCGCAGATTGAAGCCAATTATATATTTAAACCTTTAGTGCAACTTCCCTTTGACTGCCTTTTTTAACTAGCTCACAGTGTCTTCTGTTTTCCTTCTTCTGGTACATGTACAGTATAAAGTTTGTCATTGACCCTCTGCATAGTGATTTTCCTTTTGCCCTTCAGAATGGAACAAAATGAATGCGAATGTCCCTGTGAGTGCCCTCTAGAGGTCAATGAGTGCACCGGCAACCTCACCAATGCAGAGAACCGGTAAAATATACATAATACATAAATATGTGTAATATATATGTCGTACACACTCGGAGCCTCCTTTATAGATTTGTTTTGGGTTGTGGTATAAGAAGGTGATTCATTCCAGTAACTGTTCACTGAGTCAGATTTCAAGCCTTAAAATGAAGTCCTCTTTCAGGTTTACATTCAAATGCTGTGAAAATGTTTAAAATTATATGTGGTCCACACAAAAACGATGAGACTATTACAAGCATTTCACTAAGTGTCTGCCACACATCAGATACTTTATGTACATTGTGTCACTTTGTTTTCAAATTAACCCTGTGATAAATCTGTAGGTACCTTTCATGCACACACGCTTACGCCTAACCTAGTGTTCTTCATATTATTAGTGACAAATCTTAAGACCACAGTTAAATAAGTTGGGGTAAATCCCTTCTCTAGAACTCAAATGAAGGAATCCTGTGTGTGCTGATATACAGGTGTATGTTTAAGCATAGAAAAAATGTCTAAAGGGACCCTCATTAAACTGTTAATAGTGATTACCTTGGAAAAAAATGATTTAGAGTGGTAAGTCAGGGAGATAACTTTCACTTCTGATTATATACATTCCTGTTTTGTGGGATATTTATGACTTCCTTTTTATATATCTATATAAATTATTGTATGTAAAGATGAACAAATTGAAGCTCAGAGTGGTTAAAATGATTGGCCCAAGGTTACATCTAGTTAAGTGGCCAGGATTCAAACCCAGATCTGTGTGACGCTATCAAGGGCCAGGGGCACGATGAGTTTGGAATGTGAGCAGTGTTGGTCCTAACCTCCAGACTTGCTCCTGCCTAGAAACCCAAGCTGCGAGGTCCACCAGGAGCCAGTGACATACACAGCTATTGACCCTGGCCTGCAAGATGCCCTTCACCAGTGTGTCAACAGTCGGTGCAGCCAGAGGATGGAAAGCGGGTAAGCCTTGCCCAGTGCTTGCGTGTACATCGACACAATCACTGCAGGAGTAGAACCGAGTAACGAATGGTGACTAGCAGCCTCATTGGGCTTTTCCAGCTGGTATTTAGAATTCTCTTTCTTGATATTTTTTAAAGGTGTACCAGTTTTTCAGACCCAAAAGTGATTCCTATGAGCCTTTTATCCAGCAGACTTAATGTTGTCCAGTTTCCAAGTAGTTGTAGCTACTTGGCATTTGTACTGCATGTTAGTCACCTCATCTGTGGACGGGAAAGGTACTCTTGGAATAAAGGCATGAGAGGGGACCTGGCCCGAAGAAGCAAGGGCGAAGGGGGGGGGGATCTCTTGGGTTCCTGAACCAGAACCCAGCTCTATGTGTGACACACCATAGCTCATCGATTCTTTCTTAGAAAGCAGATAGGTTTCATGGTAGCTTTGAGAACCAAAACTACATGTCCCCTACTCTGTCTCCCTCCTCTCTAGGATGTTTGGGACTAGCCGTCATGGGGATAGTGTCTGTGGTGGACTACAGGGGTGGGAGTGGGGTGATTTGTTTCTTGCGATTGCAGGTTGCCATTTGATTAAACAGTCAGTGGGTGGAAGGGGCAGCCAGTTCTACTTTTAGTGCATGTTTTAGCAAAGGAATGGTCAGGCATCAGATAGATGAATTTGGGATGTTAGGCAGTAACTCAAAATTAGTTAAATTTGAGAAACACTGCGCACATCCTCTTAGAAAGTCATAATGCACTTAACATATTAAAAGTTCTAAGAAATTGGCAGTAAGGAAACCTGTTTAATTGATCTAGTATTTCCCCGATTTATTTGACCACTTTTCCTTCCTTTTTTTTTTTCTTTTAAATGACCCTACACTTGGGGTCAGGACAAAGTCTAACAAACTTTGTGGCCATTTGGTCTTGTGAGATGATTTGGGATAATCCTGCACTAATCTGTGATGTGTGGATTTTGTGGTATGATCCACAGGGAGAACGGTTTTATTTCTCTCATTTCCAAGCTGTTGAGAGACATAAAACAGCTATCCCCTGGCAGACGGTTGCTATCCTTCTTTTATAAGGAAAGGAAACTAAAGCTCAAGGACTTACAGCACTAGTAAGTGATGGAGCTCTTGAGAGCTGTCTGATGCCCAAGTCCATACGCTGTCCCCTGCCCAGCCCTTTTTCCTTGAACATTCAGCATCGTCTTTCTGGCAGGGACTGCTTTGGTGTGCTGGACTGTGAATGGTGCATGGTGGACAGCGATGGAAAGACTCACCTGGACAAATCCTACTGTGCACCCCAGAAAGAATGCTTCGGGGGAATCGTGGGAGCCAAAAGTCCTTACGTGGATGACATGGGAGCGATAGGTATGTTTGTTGGGAACCCGGAATATTTTGATTCTTGAATACGTTTTTGTTTTTTTTGTTTTTTTGGCCTCTACACTAGGACAAAACTCTTAAAAATGATCCTCTACCCCATTTTCCTCTTTCCTTTGCCAGTAGTTTTTAGTTACAAAACCAAGGCAGATAATTACCTCCAAAGCTGGCTAGATATTCTGTGCAGGGTAAGCAGCCATGATTCCTGCCAAATTTTACAAGCCTGGAATCCGTTCCCATAAAGCTTGTTCTGAGAAACATCAGGCCTGGTTTCCGCGTGGCTGAACTGTGGCGTTTGTTTGAATGTGAGTCCCAGCTGTCAGAAGAACAGGGCCAGCGATGGGTGGAGTGACCAGTGCGTGGCAGTCTCCTGCTGCGGCCCTCCCTCCCTTACGATGTTTGCAAAGCAGGAGTCTTGTGGCTCCAAATCCGTACTTAAGGTGTTGGCGTCAACAGAAGCCAGAGCTACCTAATGTGGTCCGGGTAGCTTAGGGTGAGGGACAGGGACCCTGTAGGGAGGAATATGTCTGGGATCAGGCCGCAAGACCTCAAAAATTCCACCTGCCTACCTCCACTAAGATTTTCTCAGTGTCTTTCTGGAGCTAGCTCAAGGTCCTAAAGCTTACCCAGCAGGTGAGCTACTTAAACCTTTATTTTTTTTTAACATCTCCCCACATTAACCTGTCTGCAAAAGAAAAGCTCCTCCTAGGTGAGGAAGGGTCCTGAGCTCACATATTACCCCTGAACCAGGTGAGGACACAGTCGAAGTGACCTTGTTCTAAGACATCCCTTTATATGTCCACCTGCAGTCTCCTGCATGGGGGTGCAATCAGTGTTTTAAAGGGAATCCATAAGCTTTGAAATGTGATCTTTTTTAGGGGTTGTATGACAGATCCATTGGCATAAAGGACACCAGATACAATAAATCTGTGCTAAGAGGCTTGTGTTGCCCTCACCTCTGTACGACATGACTTCTCTTCCAAGAGGAGCCCACACCCTGGGGAGCGAGGCTCTTGGCCCTGGGCAGCCCATATTTAAGTGCTTCTCGTCTCCTCACTGGTTTTTTAGTAGTCCTTGCGGGGGGTGCTCTTGCTGGGCCGAGCAACCAACATTTCAGTTGAGAACCAGGGATTAAAGGAAGCCCCTACTCACATGTTCTGGTGGGTTCTCTTTGACGCATTCAAGACTTAGCGTAGCTGCCCTTGTCTCCACCAAACCCTACCCCGGTCCTCACTTCCTGCCACACTTGGGAAGTCGTTACAAGGGACATCTGTTTGTTTATTTGAACAAAGGTGATGAGGTGGTCACGTTGAACATGATTAAAAGTGCCCCCGTGGGTCCCGTGGCCGGAGGCATCATGGGCTGCATCATGGTCCTGGTCCTTGCTGTGTATGCCTACCGCCATCAGATTCATCGCCGGAGTCATCAGCACATGTCTCCTCTGGCTGCCCAAGGTGAGCTCCAAATGAATCCAAAGCTCCCCCAGGAGGCCACAGCCTCCCTCGTGTCCTTCCGAAGCTGGAAGGACAACAACCGATCACACAAGCCGCTAAGCACTTAGAAGAACAGCACTGTGATTTCCGCTTCCGTGGAGTGGGATTCGCAAGTCCCCAAAAGCCTCCTTTCCTCCTTTAGCCCATGGCTCATTCTTCAGTATCTAAACCCTGCACGTTTCATTTTGATTCCCCAGAAAAGCCCTAGATGCTCTCTCCTCTTCTGCAGCATTAGCCTACCGCAGTCCGCCTCTGGAATAAGCCCATCAGGGGAGCTGGGATGCTGAGTGGGAAGTTTGGTTCTTCCCTCGGCTCCGAAGTGCTGTCTCTGCTGTTCCAGACAGGTGGAGCAAAGATACCCCAGGCCATGATGGGCAAGACCGTGAATCCGTTCTGTTGCTGCTATTATTACACACTGTGAATGAACACGTTCAAAGCAACAATCACATCTCTTAAATGAGAGAAGTAATTGAAGTCAGAAACAAAATGAATAACCTGCAGTCATGGTTTCCATACCAACAGTTAAATGTGGTATCTGTGCTGGTTTGCGAGGACAAAAACCATTGAATGGCCATCCCCAGCCTCCCTAAAAGCTGCCGGGGATATGCTAACCTGACCTTTATGGAGATAAGGCTCACTCACCATTCTTCCTGGACTTGGTTGGGAGCCACTTTGCTCAGCAGTACGGACAGGTTGATGTTGGACTCTTTCACTGTGGCCACAATCCTGATGAGGGGGAAGGAGGGAAGATCTTGGGATAATGTTTTCTGATGGAGTAACAGGGCTAGTCACAAAGCTCCTTCCCCCGGTAAGATTTGGGTACCAGGATTGCCCCTTGATCAGGATGTGACTATCATCCAATGTAAACCTTATGCCTGGCCTTTGATAGGGTTTTGTAAGCCCATTTCATCAGCACAGTCAGCCATGGCCTCAGACCCCTTCCTTTGGTTTCAGGTACATTAGTAGAGAATTAAAGATCCATTAGCCTCTATCAATTTATTTTCTCCTTTCTTCAGACCTCAACCTCAGGTGCCTCTCTTGATTATTCACTTCTGGTCCTCCCTCTTCTGATTCCTGCTCCCTCCTCCTTAAAAATAAAATAAAATAGATGGGACATCAGTTTATTGTCTTCCAAGTTTGGACTCATTCTTGATGGAATGCTGTCAGCAGCCAGCACACGAGCGCTCCGTAGGGTATTGAAGCGGGTGATTTTGTTTGATTAAATAGTCCTGTTTCTCTCTTTTTAATGACGGGTAGAAATGTCCGTGCGTATGTCCAGCCTGGAGAATGACAGAGATGAAAGAGATGATGAGAGCCGAGAGGACAGAGGCATCAGTGAGTACTCAGGCCGCCTCGCTGTGGAATGCGCTGGCAGGAGGCTAACCCACGGCAGACGCTCTTTCTTACATCCTTTTGGCTTATATTAGAATTTCAGAATCTTTGACATGACTGGGGCTTTTCCTCCCCCATTTTCATTAGGAATAAGCGTAGGTGCTTGCTTTGTTTTAGAAAAATCTTAAAAGATTCCAGGATGTTCCTTTTTGCATGAAGTGCTTTGGCCTAAAACCCCTCACCCTACCTTTTCTTTCTCCTCCTCCTTGCTTTCCAGCATAGTATTATTTTGGAAAGGCAATCATTGGGCATACATTGTTTTAATCCCTCGGGGAATTAAAATGTAGATACCTCGGGGTGGGGTGGGGGAGGAGTATTTCTTCATCAAAATAGAGTTCCATTAGAGATACATACCTTGGCCTTCGACTCTATAGAACATATCTTCTTAATGCATGTTGGAGACCTGTAATTAGGGGCCTCTCACTGCCGCTAATCCTCACAATTAAAAAAATTACTTATTTTCTCTCTCCAAAGAATAGCTCCCCCGAACGTGTGATTGAGCCTGCTCAGAGCAAATGTGCTTGATACAATAAAGATGCTGGCATCAGAGTGACTAACTGTCCTTGCTTCCCGCAGTCAGCAATACTAGGTTTATAGCTGCAGTCATCGAACGACACGCACACAGCCCAGAAAGGAGGCGTCGCTACTGGGGTCGATCGGGAACAGAAAGCGATCATGGTAAGGTCTAGTTCCTTCTGAGGAACCCGGTGGGCTCCTGTGGGCCATTGCTCACACCCACACTTCTCCCTCCTGTTCTGTGCTCAAATTAATTACTTTGACATAGTTTTCCAAAGGACACATTCCAACATGGTGTGTTTATAGGAACCCCATAGTTTTGATTATGTCTCTGCACTCCCAGGCATAAGTGAGAGGACCTCTGGGCACACAGATTGCTTTCTAGGTGTTCTCCATGCATAAGGATTCACGTTGTCTAAATGGAACCTGCTTACCACTCCACTTGATCCTTGGTAATTGGCATCCTTGTTGGTCCTACTGAGCAGTGTTGTTAGTTGGCAAACACCAGCATCCTCAAGGGCGCTGTCAGTCATTACACTTTGTATATGAGAGGAGTCCATGCTTCCTTCTGGAATTCCCCATCCTGACCTCCAGCCTTGCCTGGAAGGTTCAGGGAAGGCTTCACCAAGGAGACAACAATTTGCACTGGGCCTAAAGGGTGATGAAAGAAAAGTTGGGGGCAAAGGATGTTAGAGGCAAAGGGACTAGTGTATAGAGTTAATCATGGCGGTTGTATAAGGTGTATGAGCTCTAAGATGCTCGGAAAGGGTAGAGGTTAGATCGTGAAGAGACACCAAGGCTGAGCAGGCTGTGAATTAGTCAAGTCCACATGCTGTGTGGAAGACTTGGCCGCCACCTAGACGCATGGCTTGGCCTCACAGAGAACCACGGCCATGTTGTTGGAGTGGCAGGAGTGTGGGGCCTTTCCTGTAATTGGAAGATGTTTTTATTTTTCATAGGGTTGTTTAATTTTCCAGAAATCTTTATTTTCTTCCCAGAACCAGGTCTTTTTTAAATGGGTAGATAATGCATTTATACCTTTTTGACTCTTCTTTCTCCACATCTACCCGGGGGGAAAAAAAAAAAAAAGGAGGGGGGATATCTTCAAACAGTGCACTCCCACCCCTGTGCTAAAAAATGCACGAGTGGGTATTCATCAAGGAGACCAGTGCAGCCTTTTACATGAGAGCCAGTGATTCAAACTCCCTTTGGAAAACAGGAGAAGCCAAAACCCTGATTTGTAAATCGGAGGCTCCTAATTTGGGCTTTGAATGACATTGTTCCCAACAACTAAGTAGAAACTTCAGGTTTCTATGGAGAGTCAAAGCACAACTTAAATTTTTCAGTTTCTTTGACTTTCTGTGCTTTTTTTCCCCCTAAAAACCTTTGAACCTGCATAAATTCATTCTGCCAGGCAGTTCTGTGTCTCTTCTCCTTTGAATAATAAAACAGGTTTGAGGCTACTAAAGTTCAACAGAAATAATTTCTTATTCAGCAGAAATACTGAATCCTTTCTCTCTTTCTCTCTCTCTCTCCCCAGATAGAAGTTGCTTCAATACGAAATTGGAATTCTGAGTGACGTTTACAATGTTCCATTAGCTCTCCCATTGTCTTAGGAAAATGGCATATGAAGCAACAGCTTAGATAAAACGAAGAGTGCAGTGTCAGTATCTGAAAGCTAAGGAATCTAGCTAAGGGCTTGCTTTCTTTCATTTTTCACAATAATTGGATGCCTGTTATCCCCAAGGAATGAAAAATAGTTTCTCGTGCAGACAGAATGCAACACCAAAAGAAATGGAAAGCATTGACATGCCACATACTTCCGAATGCACCACAGAATCAATAGCATTTAACTGCATGTTGTCCTATCCCTGGGCCTGTATGGCAGGTCACTAAAAGCGGTGGCATCAAGTGCTCATGTCCCTGTGATGCCAAGAATAAGCCATAGGTCCACGTTACAACAAGGAAATCTAATTGAATTGTTTCGTCAGCACACTTCTTCCTCAGCTCTGTGTTCTTCTACTTGGTGAATGTATTGGGCACCTGCTCTTTGCTGAGCCCGGTGGAGGGACCTGGTGAAGGGACGGCCTCGTTTCTGTGAGGCAGAGGGTAGGGAGGAGCTTATAAGATAGGGTCAAGCACAGCTCACTGGGAGCCCCCCTCTCCCCGTCTCCCCAGGTTACGAGATTTTAGTGAGACTACTTGGACCTTAGTGTCCTAACGATTAAAAGGGGAAGAGAAACTTCTCCCTGGTGAAGTTGTAAACATTAAATGCGATAACTTACGGCAGGCATGTTGAGCTCAGCCCACCTCGGTACCCACTCTGCCCTCAAGGAATTTACAGTCTAGCAGGAAACTGTAAATAAATGCATGTATTCATAAGATGGATAAAAAGCTGGCTATGACAGCTTCCTTAAAGGCCCAGAAGAAAGCAGAAGATAGGGAGATAGTTCACTTTTATCAGCACATTCATCATGGACGTCCCCTGAGCGGGGAAGGTGGCATTGGTACTGGCCCTTGAACTGGTAAAATCCTAGCCCCGTGGTTCTTTGCAACCCAGTGAGCATGTTTCCACATGAGTCCTTGGGTCTGATACACAAAAGGGAAACTCAGAAGAATAAAATACATAAATATGTAAGTACTGAACAGACGAGACTTTCATGGTATGGTTTAGAATTGTGATAGTCCCAGAATTAAAACTGAACGTTCCCAAGCCAAACTTGGAGACTCCAAGCTGCATTTTTATTTAGACATACAGTTGACCCTTGAACATCGTGGGCATAAGGAGCACTGACAGCACAGTCAGAAATCCACGTATGACTTCTGACTCCCCAAATACTTGACGACTAATAGTCTACTGCTGACCGGAAGCCTTACCAATAACATAAACAGGGGAGTAACGCACATTTTGTATGTTACATGTATTATATACTGTATTCATACAACGAAGTAAGCTAGAGAAAAGAAAATGTTAAGAAAACCCTAAGAGAAAAATGCACTTACAGTACTGTCCTGTATTTCTGGAAAACCGGCCTCTAAGTGGACCCACATAGTTCAAACCCCTTTTGTTCAAGTGTCTGTGGTATTTCATGTGGCCAAGAGAGTTTTGTGTTTCAAAGGAACCTTATTTTAATTTCTCTATATTAAAAAAACTACTCCAAATAGGAGTCGTTTTTGAAATTGACAAAAAAATTTTTGTCAATATTCTAAGACCACTTAGAATGATTGTTTTTTCAGCACTTGACTATTTCTTGTTACGCTCACAAGTAGTGATTTAAAAAATTACTCCCTGCTGATGCTTTTAATTCTGTATATGCCCTACCCATTATCTCTCCTGAAAATATCATGTTCTAATTATCAACTGGCTTATTTTTAAGTTAAAAACCACCAACGTGTATTTGTTCCTTGTGAATTCACGTGTTGTTTACTATTTCATTAGAAACTTTATGCAAATGTATATTAAGGCACATTTCTTCTTTGTAAAAGGGAAATTTCCTCCTTGTGAAGCAGATTCCAAAAAGCTTAAAAGGCAAATGCTGAGCTTTGAAAACCTGGTCAAAAACTACACAGTGTACCCTGAGCCCATTTTCTAAAGATGCACAGGTATTCTCCTGCAGTTACTCTCTGTGGCCACAAGGTGGAGAGTGAGTTGTCGTATCCAACCCCCCCCCTCCCACCCCCACCCCCACCCCCACCCCCACAGAGGGACCTAACATCCCTAACCATCAAGAGAGGTTTCTCAGGAACCATCAGCTAAATATGTAAGCAGAATACCAAAGAGCAACAGCCTAATCTTGACTCTTCTGTTCTTAATGAACACCTGGCCTCCTTTCTGAAGCCTACTTTTTGCTTGAGGTCATCTTTGCAAAGACTTTACTGTGTACACGTTTGGATAGTAAAGAAATCTTTCCTTTGAAAGTGTTTGCTGATATCCTTTGTGTTTTCAAAAGAGCTTCCCCCTCCATGAGTCAGACTGAGTCTGTCTTATTCATCACTGTTCCCAGCACTCAACGGAATTGCCTGGTGCTAAGTAAACACTCCATTTGTTAAGTGAGAGCAAGTGTTTGGCTTTTTTCTCCTCCTCTACAGCTTGCTATCCCTCCCTCCAGATTTTTATTAATTATTGAGATAAGAGGAAGCCTGAGTAACTTACAGAGGGGTTGAGCAATGCCCCCAGAGCAAGTGGTTCACTTTGGAAGAGCCTCTGCTAGGGGGGTTCCCATCAGAAAGCAAGAGCAGGAGAAATGGGGTGCTCCTGAGTTGCTTTGGGAACAGCTCTACCATCAGAACCACCCCGAGCCTATGACCAGCCAGGTTCAGGGCATCCCTGGACTCTTAAGTTGGAAGCCCTGGGCAGGGCCCAGTGAATCCTGGAGTGTCTTCATTATTAGGTGAGCCTGCGGAATGTCACACCAGATAAAGCCACAGATAACTCAAAAAATTAATGCCATTGCTTTGGGACCATAGTAATGTGATTTTTGGAAAACGAAGTGTCTTTGGTGTTCTGCTTTGTGTGAGGCATTGTGTGGAATATTAGGAGTACAGAAATAAGAATTTGCCAATGGACAAGGCAGCCCTAAAGTTTATTATATAGTAAAAATCTAAGAGAGAGATGTGCACAGAATGCCATTTAAACTCACAGAAGGGGCATCCGACTGCATGTGGGCTGAAGGCTGGGGTTTGGGTTGCTTCCCAGAGAAGACCTTTAAAAACTGAAGCCTGAAGCACAATAGCCAGACGAGGGAGGGGGGGGCGGGGGTGGTGAGCCAGGCAGAAGGCCTGTCACGAATGTGCAAATGAGTTAACAGTTACCATGGGCGCTTGTAAATGAGTAGAGATGGGAAACCATTCAGGATATACTTGGAGGCAAGATAAAGACAGCCTAGTGTGAACGGCTGGCCAACAATAATCAACAAAGACACCGAGATTTTGCCGAAAGTGTATTTTCTCCTCCAGTCCCCTACGTGTGAAGCACATGGTAGCTTAAGCACACACAGCACTTTGTAGCTGGAGTTTCAGAGCCTGCTGTCCGGTTGTACGTTCCACCGAGCACTGCCCAAGCTGAGAAACTCACTGGGGCTCCTGATCCCGTACTCTTGAGGAAAGGCATCACTGTTTCCCCAGCTCCTGAACCTAGACGCCCTCAGTGTTGTCCAAGGATGTCAGCCCTCCTGGCATCTTCACGGGGCCAGGCCATTTGGCCACCACATTCAGCCGACTCTGCACCCCAGTGGTCCCTTGAAGCCAGCTACGTGCTCCTCTTAACACCGCTCCTGTCCCTTCAGGTCCTCGTCATTCCTGGGCCAGCACTCCAGCCTCCCGTCCGCTGAGCCTTGATCCCTCCTTCCTTCTGTCCAGCCTCCTCGTTGCCACAAGGATCCTCTTCAAACCCCTTATGTCATTGCCACCATCCTACACCCCCTTGTCTGTTATCCTAAATCCCAGCTCCCAGCTCGACCGGCCTTCTTGATCTGGTCCGAGCCCGTGTGTCCAGCAGTGTCTCCTGCGTCTTTCTCCCCCATACTGAGCTTTTTTATCATCCCCCAAGCCCACCAGAGACTTTCAGGCTACTGTGTCTTTGTATTTGCTTATCTCCTGGCCTGCAGTACCTTTCCACCCCTCTCTTTACCTAATGAACACCTTCTCTCCCATGAGGCCTACGTTAAGTGTCCTCAGGTATCCTAAGCCAAGTTAGCCAGCTTTGGTATTCCTTTCAGTAGGCCTCTGTTTTGTGTTTCCCCTTCTTGACTGTGGGCTTCTTAGGAGGTGGGGCCTCACCTTTACCCCTTTTTCTGGTGAGCTCCCCCCGACCTGGCACCAAGAAGACACTCCGTGATGATAGACTTGTACGTCGGTTAGCGCCTTCTCTTCGGCCCTGACTTCTCATGGCCAACACTCCTGCATTTCTGGCTAGACATCTCCACGGACTCTCAAATCAAGATGTCTGAAACAAAATTCATTTTCGTTCCTGAGACTGGGGATCTCCGAGTCTTAGCATCCTGACTTTCAGTCACAGGCCCCTCTAACTACCTCTCAGCAGCCCCACAACCCCCTCCCTTCTGATAGCTTACCAACTTCTCTTGTTTCCGCTCCTGAGATACTTTTAAATCTGTCCAGTCCCATACCCCTAGTTTTGATTCTTTTTTTTTTTTTAAATATTTTATTTATTCATGAGAGACAGAGAGAGAGGCAGAGGCAGAGGGAGAAGCAGGCTCCCCGCTGAGCAGGGAGCCCAATATGGGTCTCGATCCCAGGACCCCAGGATCATGACCTGAGCCGAAGGCAGACGCTTAACCATCTGAGCCACCCAGGCGCCCCCCTAGTTTTGATTCTTAATCTCTCATCTGCACTGTAGAAATAACCTCTTAACTGTCCCCCTCTCTCTCCTTTTTATTCATTAAAAGCTGCCATCAGAACTCTCTTTGAAACACAGAAACTATCATGCTCTTTTTTTTTAGTCTGCTCAAAATGTTCTGCTGTTTGTCCATTTTCTCTGCTTCGACATGGCCTTTATAATCTGACTGTAACTCCCTTTTCCACCTCCCTCCTGCCGCGTTCTCCAGCTACCTACTTGCACCCGCCCTGGCCATGTGGTGTAGGAATGGCCTTGGGGTGCCACACCCTGTGGCCTGCCCCTCTGTCCCCTTGCTCCTATCCACCTACCAAACTCCTGCACATCCTTTAAAGCCCAACTAAAATAGGAGTTCTTCTGTGAACCTTTCTCATTCTTCAGCCGGAATTAGTTTATTCCGTGTTCTAGATTTCAGTTCTACCTCGACTATAGCTCTTACCATTGTCCGCAGTAGAATAAACCTAGCTTCACGAAAATGTGTCTCCTGTTCGGTTGTGAAATCCGCAAGGAAAAGAGACATCTCTTATTCATGTTTCATCGCCTCCTTCTCTGGCCCCGTAATGGTCTTGTATCTATGAATAATTGAACAGATCCATGCTTGTATTGGCTTTATTTCTCAAGCACTAGCTTTTAAGCTCCTTATACAGGGACCAGGTTTTCACCTTGGTGTCTCCTGCATTGCCTAACACGGTATCTTATACATAGTAGGTGCACAGTAAATATTTGTTGAGTTGGACTGGCTTAAATAATTCTGTCATTTGAGAAATGTTTCACTGAGGACAGAGAACTGCCTTTCTCATTTTTGCACAGAGCATACATTTTCAACCACAAACTATTCCGGCTTGGCTGTATGCAAGCACATCAATTTTGCAGCCACAAATGTGACTAGCACTACCCATGGGTGAGTGCTGATTGATGCTAACTGTAGATGCAGTGGAAATATTAATGAGCTGTCACTTCTCAAAATTCTTAAAGGGGATTTTTGCAATATTTAAAAACATGCCAGGGTTCTTGGAATGGAATCCTTTGATCAGCAAGGCCATTTTCTTTTGAAACATGTATTACTTAGAATACTGAAAGAAATTAATCTTTAAATACAGTGAGCCAGCTTACACAGAGAATAGTTGATTCCTTTGCTGGTTGCCAGGGGTATATGTGGGGTTAGTATTTCATGGGGTGGAACTTTGGGCAAGTTCATTAACCTCTCTGATCATCGTCTCCCTCGCCTGTAAAAATGGATGTTAAACCACATGCCTTATTGGGGTGTGGGAGCCCCAGGACACTGGCACCTGCCACGGAGCAGATATGTGGCTGATGGTAGCCGTTGTTTTTGTTCTCACTGTGTTGTGACATCAAATTCAGGCCTGTCGAAGCCCCGATTCCCCCTCCAACCCCCAACTCCATCCAAGTCCCATTACTTTTTTTCCTTCTTTAAAATAAAATTAGCAGCCCTAATCCTGATCTCCAGGAAAGGTGGAGGAGGATAGCTCCCAAATGTCAGTGGTAGTTATCTGTGGATCAGAGGGGAATGTGTGGTAATTTTAGTTTTTCTTTTGTTGATTTGGGGATTTGGGAAAAGGCTGCTTGTATATATATATATATCTTTTTTCCTTATCTGTGCTCTCTCAGGTGTCTAAAACGGTTGTGGTTTTACTGTGTAATTGTGGAAAAAGAATGGCTAACAAAAGATGCCTTTGGAAATAAGTCACTTGCCCGTCTGCTGGCAGCCTGCAGACGTTGGCCGCCGGGTAACACAGAGATAGGAACATGTCCCGGTGCCCTAGACATCTGAAGCCCCGGCTCCCTGCGTCTGGAAGCTCTCAGCTGTCTGTTCTGTTCCTTTTCTAGGTTACAGTACCATGAGCCCGCAGGAGGACAGTGAAAATCCCCCGTGCAACAATGACCCCCTGTCAGCGGGGGTCGACGTGGGAAACCACGATGAGGACTTGGATCTGGACGCGCCGCCCCAGACCGCTGCCCTCCTAAGTCACAAATTCCACCACCCGCGCCCCCACCACCCGGCACTGCACCACAGCCACCACTTACAGGCGGCCGTGACAGTACACACTGTCGACGCGGAATGCTAACGCTCCCCTCACCCCCGCCAGAAGATGGGACCTGGGAGGCACAAAATGTTCTGGAGGGGAAGAGCCAGCGTCAGAGACTCTGCCGCCAGAATCCCCTCGCACGCGCGCGCACGTGTGTGTGTGTGTGTGTGTGTGTGTGCACGCGGGCCCCCGTGCTTCGTCCCGAGTGACTGAACTCCTTTCCTGCCCGTTCACCTGTTTCAAGAGGAGAGACAACAACAGACTCACACTCGTGAAAATGCAAGGCCGGCTCCGAAACGGAAGGGAAGGAAGCCTGATTAATGAACCTGCCATCATGCTAAGGGAATGGAACAGAAGGCAGACCTCCAAACAGAGAGAGACGAAACCTCTAAATGAAACACGGGGAACCTTCGTTAAGCTGAGCCGGAGGAATGTTCCAAGGAGCCAGAAACATTCGGCTCTCCTTAACTGGAAGAGAGAGAAATGTGCCCCGCCGGAGAGTGAGCGGGCAGCACATCCAGGGAGAAATGTGTGCTTTGAAGATGTCGCTTGGTTTCCTAGCAGTACCTAGATACCACAGTTGCTCTCTGGAACTCCTGTTGCGCTCCAAATGATGCATCTCAAAATTTCTAAGTAAAGGATTATTTTTCTACTATTTATTGAACTTTCAAACATTCTCAAACTTTGGGGGAAAGAAAAGGAGACACATGAGAATTTTTCAGCAGTTAATCCCTAGCTGTTTTGTGTGTGATGAAGTGGTTCTTTGAACTTAGGAGTTCTGTTATTTAACGGATACCATCCAACCGCCCCAGTCCACAAAATGGGAAAATGAAGAAATCTTTCTCTCTGACCTGTTTACATACATTTCCTTTAGAACATCGTTTTATGGAAACACATCTTTATTTGCAATGCAGTATTCTTTCTCTGTGTTTGACAGAGGTGGGGAGGACAGAGGAATCCAAAATGTTTTTAAAGAAATTTTAATGTTTCTTTTTAACTCCTTTCCACTCCCCGTACAATGCTTTTCTTAGATTTCTACAAAACCTAATGTTATAACCCCGGCCCTTCAGCTAAGGAGGGATGGATTTCTTCTTCTTGTGTTAGAGACTATAAATTTTTAAATGTCCCATTTTGATTGTGAGAATAGTGACTACATAAAGAAAGATGTTTTTAAGATTCACGATTGGTTCTTAATTAAAGATTTCTTCTGATATCCTAATTCAAAGCTGCTGCCAGTTATCCAAGAAGTTACCCACCAAACTGCTTTGTGATGTATACAGAGATAAATAAAATCTGGCTAATATAACATGGGGCATTGTAATTTTAAAGTAGTGTTCTAATTACAGTGATGTATTTTAGATTCACATTTTGTGATTCAAATATGTTATAAAGGCATTCTTGCACCGTGTGTGTGGTAAATCTCCGTTTATATGTAGTTGGAAAAAAAAATTCACTGAATAATGTTTTAATGATAGGGTATTAACGATATAATGTAAAAAACAATTGGTTCTTCAGCCGTACAGAAAGTAAACTATATGCGTGCTATCAGGAAACCCCTTCATACTGTGTATAAATTTGCAGTCTAGTGAAATAAAATGTATGAACGGACAGTTTTAGTGTTTAATAGTGATTTGTTAATGTCCCCCTTCTTGTGCCTCAAGGCAAATTACATTCACTTTGTAACCTAGCAGATCAGTCACCAAACTGAAAGTAGGCCTCCCCTCGATGCTGCTGTCAATTTCAGGGGTTTCTGGACATCTCGAATATGCAAAAAAATTTAAGAAAATAATGGGATAAAATTAAAAGCAAATGTTAGAAAATGTGTGAAACATAGTCCCTCCCCCTCCCCTTGCTGAGCATCTACATGCATGTCAATAATAAAGAAATGGTTGTTCTTGAATTGCTGGAGAGAATGGGTGACTTTCCTGTCTTTCCAGAAAATTAAATCTCTCCATGGGACACCAGTTTGTTTCCTGAGGTTGAGAACCTTTGCGTGATGACACTAGCTTCTTGATGGGGGGAAACTTGGGGTTTTCAAGAAAAGAATCACAAAACATAGAGCTTAATAAAATATGTTAGAGCCTACTCAGATGTAAGAACAGAAATGCATCTTGTGTCTTTTGTGATAAATATCTCCCCTTTCCTAAACTTCAGGGGAAGGTAATTGAATGCTTCTACCTGAAAAGAAAACAGAACTGTGTTTGACAGGCCCTCAAGAACATGGTACACAGATTTGCAAGGTTTTATCCTTCGAAGTTCCCTTTCATCTACTCCCCCCAAGTGTTTTGTTTTGGTTTTTTAGGATTTTATTTACTTATTTGACAGAGACACAGCGAGAGAGGGAACACAAGCAGAGGGAGTGGGCGAGGGAGAAGCAGGCTTTCCACGGAGCAGGGAGCCCGATGCGGGGCTCGATCCCAGGACCCCGGGATCATGACCTGAGCCGAAGGCAGCCACTTAACGACTGAGCCACCCAGGCGCCCCCCAAGTGTTGTTTCAACATTTGTTGTTCATGTTCTTGCTTTAAAGGACAATTTCATGTTTGGAAATTTCTATTACGGTGACCTATATTGGTGGCTCTTGCCCCCCAGATAACGTTGCTTGTTAAACACGAGTCACCCCTGGAATCCTGCAGGGAGGTCCCAGCAATGCCTTCTGGTTCACTAAGGCCCTCTTAATGCCTATAACTAATGCTCGTATCAGCGTTGACAGGTGTCAACAGCTAAGGGTGCTCCAGGTTACTTGATAAGCTAGAAAAGGGGAATGCCTCTTTGTGGCCCAAACAAAACAGGGTTCAGACCCATCTAGCCTCTCTCAAGTACGCGCTCATCTGCTTTTCTGACACATTTATTTTGGACATTTTGGAAAGTGCGGTTTTTCTTCCTCTGCCTCTTGATTTAACTTGAATGCTCAACTAAGCCTTATTAATATTTTCATTTGAAAAATGTCAGGGACGCCTGGGTGGCTCAGTCGGTTAAGCGTCCGCCTTCGGCTCATGATCCCAGGGTCTTAGGATGGAGTCCCGCCTCTGGCTCCCTGCTCAGCGGGGAGCCTGCTTCTCCCTCTGCCTGCTCCCCCTGCTTGTGCTCGCTCTCTCTGACAAATAAAATCTTTTTTAAAAAATGTCAGATTTACTCAGGTTTATTCTGCATGTCAGAGTGATATGTGGAAAGAAATCCTGGAAGATCACTTAAACTCGTTTCCCTGTGGTGAAAGACTGCTCTAATGATTACTCTTTCAAGAAAAAAAAAAAAAAAAACATATCTGGTAGAATAATCAAAATGGATCAGCCCAGTCTTATCTGTGCCATCTTTGGTCTGTTTCTGAAGAGAGGAGTGGTGATTTTCCTGGCTGAAATACAATGCCATATTCAGAAGTTTTTCTGACTTTTCAGTAAAGAATATTAAGTTGAAAGATCTATTTCTATGGCTGTGATAAGATGCTCTGTTTAGTAGCTAAGGTGTGTTTATCAATATATATAGATCTATAGACATCTGAAATGGTTTAGGCTTTCCTCCAAGCTCCCTCATTGTCCTACGTGGCTAATTAGGGGCTCTTCCCCCCTCCCTTTATTTCAGTGTTTCCTAACCTTTTTAAAAATTAATTACTGCCCCCCTCTTTAGGAGAAAATTTTGACTTAAATTCATCCTTACAAGAAGTTAAATACTAGCAGATAAGGTTTTGTTGGTTGGGATGGAGCTTTGGAGGGCTATAAACCATTGTAATAATTTCTTCCTCCCCCAAGAATCCATTTCTTGATGCGATGTATACCTTTGTGTTTTGTGTGTGCGTGTGTGTGTGTGTGTGTGGTTTTATTTTCTCCCCAGCTTTATTGAGGTTTAATTGACCTAAAAAATTGTAAGATATTGGGGCACCTGGGTGGCTCAGTCGGTTAAACATCCAACTCTCGGTTTCTGCTCAGGTCATGATCTCTAGGTCAGGCTCTGTGCTCAGCACATAGTCTGCTTGAGATTCTTTCCACCACCTCCTCCCTCCCCGTCTCTCTCTCTCTCTAATATAAGATCATTAAAATTGTAAGATATTTAAAATCTACATCATGGTGATTTGATATATGTATTCATTGTAAAAAGATTTCCCCCATTAACGCTTTCTTCATTGATTTATTTTTGGTGAGAACATTGAAATTCTCTCTTCTACTCTTAGCAGATTTCAATTACACAATACAGTGTTGTCAACTATAGTCACCATGTTTACAGTCGATCCTCAGACCTTTTTCATCTTAGAGTGAAAGTTTGTACCCTGTTACCAACCTCTCCTTATTTCTCCTGCCCCTGTAGCCCCTGGCAGCCACTTTTCTACTCTGTTTCTAGGAGTAGAAAAAAAAGAAAAAAAAAAGTATTCTATGTATAAGTGATACCATGTAGTATTTATATTTCTTTGGCTTATTTCACTTAAGCATAATGTCCTTAGGGCCCCTCCATGTTGTCACAAATGGTAGGATCTCCTTCTCATGGCTGAATGTTCGTGCTTTTTCACCTACTTTATGTTAAGAGAAATATCTGCTCCTCTCACCTCCGCAAATCTCAATTTAAATACAACTTCTTTCACGACCAGGTTCCTTAACCCTACTTACCACTCCTGTGCCCAATAAAAAGTGAGCTCTGCCCGTTCAAATCTTCTAAAGCTCCTCTCCACCAGTCATGAGCTTCTGGTTAATCTTGGCTTGGATGTTAGCTATAAAAAAAGTATGAACTTTTTTTATAGCCTCAACTAGACCCTAGCTTCCTAAGAGCGAGGACTATTGTTCTTTGTCGTGCTCGTGGCACCATACCCTGTACTCTGCAGGGAGGGCCTTCAGTGTTGAAAAGATTAAATGTCTAGAGTGTCAACTGCAACCATAATTACAGTTGACCCTTGAAAATCACAGAGGTGAGGGTCCCCGACTCCCCACACAGTCATTAGACTCCCCCAAAACTTAACTTTTTTTTTTTAAGATTTTATTTGAGAGAGAGAACAAGACAGAGCACGAGTGGAGGGAGAGGGAGAAGCAGACTTGCCGCTGAGCAGGGAGCCCGGTG